TATGTTGCACCTACTCAAGATTTAAACAGTAGTTCTTTAGTTACTCATACAAATAAGAATAAAAGAGGAAAGAAGGGAATAGTACAATGCTAAAACCACAGGGAAGCTGTTAAGAAATGCAGTGGGAAAAATCCTGATGTGAGTAGATAAGCAGTTAAAGGTATTATAACAAGGCGAACCCAGACAGAGCTTCCCTTTTCAAGTACGGTACGCAAAAAGACATCCCAAAGTCGGTCGGAAGCTACCCTGTAGGACAATCCAAATAGACAACTGGTTCCCTGGAGAATAAAGGCTTTATAACTTTTCAGTACCGGTATTCTAATACGACTGTATTACAGTGCAGAAAACAGTAATATTAAGGTTGTATCTATTGAGCAGAAAATTGAATGCAAGTTGTGTCATGCCAAAAAGTGGAAAGAAGACAGCCTTGGTGTTGTAGCAACGGCAAGGTTCATCCTCCTACAATTTAACAGTTGCCTGATCCTCCCACTGCCGCTTTACCAATAATAACAGGAGTTGACAAGCAGAAAATATAATTGATGTTTTCAGATGATTTCCTTAAGAGCTAAGGAAATACACGAGGTAAACTTTATTGCCACTTTCAAGGTTCAAGGATGTTTATCACAAAATGGGAAGTGTGTTACTTTGATCTCAACAAAATCCATAGTTTTACAATTTTTTTTTTTTTGGAAATGATAAAAAATCAGGCAGAAATTTGGTCTAACCTCATTTCAGTTGTAAAGACCCATTTGCTGCATGATTACAATCAAACCGGTATGTAAAAGATTAAAAAAACAGCAATGGAAAATGCTCCGGAAGGAGTTGAAGGTTGCTATTCATGTAGACATAAAACCTGCAGTTGGACATAGGGGTTGATATAAAGCCCCAACAACAAGGGAGTGGCTTTGGTCATTGTGGGGCTGGAGTTTGAAAATTGTATTGTCTATATCAGGATGCAACACTAGTAACAGAAATAAAAAAAAACGGCAGGCTACACTGGGCTTGATGATTTAGAAAGAATGCCTAATGACAGAGGAGTGAAGAGGGTGCACCACCAAACCCCAGAGGAAAATGGCTCAAAAGTAAATCTAGGCTTGGATGGATGGATGATGTGTAGAGGGATCTACAGCAGCTGGGAATCCAAGCATGGAAAATAAAATCATCAGGTCTGAGTGGAAGGATGAGTTGAGGCAGGCCAAAGCCCTACATGGACTGTAGCACCACAGGGATGGAGGCATGATGGAGTTTGAAAAGCGGCACATGATCATTCTCAGTAGAGACACTCATTTGATGTGGATTAGCAAAACTCTTGCTTACAAAGTTCTTAAGTATCCTCTTATTTTCTGCCATGGAGAAGATGGTTATTGCATTTTAGCATCCCCCACCATGGTCAAAATTTGGAAGCCACTCTTAAGAAAACAGTTTCTGCTTCAGACAACAATAACTACACCCTTCTGTATTTGTAGTTCCCTCAAACATAGTAGTGAAGCATGGGTAATCAGGTAGTATTGTAAAATAGCAATACTCTTCTTTATTGGTAAATATTTATTATGTACAAGGATTTTAAATAGTTATTTCAACACAAGACTATGCTCTGAAAAAGAACATTTGAAGCAAAGTTAATTTGAAGCTGCAAACCAATTAGCCCATTCAATAGCTTCATGATATTCTAGTAGGACATTGTAATGTGCACAAATCTTCTGGCTTCTCTTGAATAAAAATATAGCTTATCCATTTCTCCTGTTTCTCAAAGGAATGTTGTTCGAACAGAACTTTGTTCAAATGACATTTGTTTAAGGCAAATTTTTTTATAAAAATGTTTTAAGGGAAAGAGCAAGTAATAGGGGAAATTTTAAACTTTTAAATAAAATGTAATGTTTTTGTTTTTTTATTTCCTTTAGAACAAACATTGTAAGTAGATTTCAAGCTTCTTACTTTTTGGGTTCTGTCAGAAAATATGTTGGGCAGCTATGGCAGAGATTATTAAATTCCAAGGTGGATTGGTTATAATATTGTTTGCATTAATTATTATTCACTTTGCCAGGGGCTAAAAACTTAACCCTTAACATATTTTGTCTATCCTCAAAAAAGTTTGTCATCGTTAAGTTTAATGCTGATTGATTAAATAATGCTTGTATTTGAAAGCAATGATGTTAAACGATACCAAATATTTGTTAAATGATAATTTGTAAAAAATCCAGAATTTTATTTTTTAATAATCACAATGATAAATTAACGGTTAATGTAAACAATAGTTTCTGTCATTCCATATCAAACCATATGACATGCTTTAACAGGATTAGCTGAATTTGAAGAATGTCACTTCCAAAAATAAATGACTGCCTTTTGTGATGGTTGTGTACCTATGATTTAATGTGAAGTTTGTGCACCTATGATTTAATGTGTTTTTTTTTTGTTCATATGATTGTTTATTCCATTTTCTTGTTAATAAATAACAAATATATTCTCATTATAAGTTTTTTTATTATTAAGAATTTGACTTATTTTATGTTTAATAAATAAAATATATTGGTATGAAAACATAAATATTTGTTTTCATTTAAAATTATTGTTTTCATACAGCCTTTTAGCCAGGTGAGTGTATATTTGAGTGTGTCTTCTACAGTGACTGTAAAGCTAGCGTGTCAGTTACATGTCCAACTTTAACTTTAAAGATTTTCAAACAGATTGTATGCTGCAACAAATAACGACCACACCTGGGGTTTGTACCATGATATCTTGGTAAACCATGCTTGTATTTGCTTCCAAAGATTCACAAGGAGGGAAGTCCAGGAAGACCTATTGTCTCAGCTTGTTCTTGTCCTACTGAACTGATTTCTGAGTTTTTGGATACAGTTTTCCAGCCCATGGTTGAAAATTTACCATCGTATATTAAGGACACTAACCACATGATCAAATCTCTCGAGTCCTTGGTTTTACCTAATGAAACCCATTTACTTTTTACAATGGACGTTTCTTCACTGTACACCTCGATTCCCCACACAGATGGACTCATCGCAATTTCATTTTTTCTGAATACGAATCCTAATCCCAATTTTCCAACAAGTGCCATTGTACGTTTGACTGAATTGGTTCTACAGCTTAATTCGTTTGAATTCAATGGCGAATTTTTCGATCAGATCAGTGGTGTTGCTATGGGAACGAAAATGGGACCAAGTTATGCATGCTTATTTATGGGCCATTTGGAACATCTTTGGAGAGAACACTACCAAGGTCCTTTCCCAGAATACTACAGAAGATACATTGATGATTGTATAGGGATTACTAATATGGACATAACAGAACTAGAAAGTTTTATTTACTTCATTGGAAATTTTCATCCAACAATTAAATTCACTTCAATGATCCATAAAAGCACCATCAATTTTTTGGACTTACGAATTAACCTTCATGAGAACAAAATATCTACGTCCATTTTTTATAAACAAACAGACAGTCATAGCTTCTTGCTATATTCATCATCCCACCCTCAATGGTGTAAAAACTCCATCCCATTTTCTCAGTTGCTGAGACTCAGAAGACTATGTAGTAATGAAGAAGATTTTGGAGAAAGAATGTCTGAAATGTTGGATTTTTTCCGACGCAGATTATACCCCGAAGAAATTTTAAAAGCAGCTGTCACTCGAGTTAAAGGTATGACTAGACAGGCTTCTTTTAAAGCTACTCATTCTGACACTAGCGATAGGTCTAAATTTATCTTAACTTTTCATCCCCACAACCTAAAAGCTCGCTCTCTGGTTCTTAAAAACCGCTCCATTCTTATGGCGGACCCTGTCACAAATGCGATTTTTAGAAAACCTCCTCTTTTCGCTTTCCGGCGGGACAAGAGCCTTAGGGACATGCTAGTTAGAAGCCACCTCCCTGCTATTAAAGCATATAAAGGCACAAAATGTTGCAACCGTAGCCGTTGCAACTCATGTCCCTATGTGATCGAAACTGATACGATCACTTTCCCTCTGGGAGTATTCAGAATAAAAGATGGTTTTACCTGCACAAGTCGCAACGTGATTTACACCATCATTTGCAAAAAGTGCGGTAAACTATACATAGGAGAGACAGGTCGTCGCCTTGGGGACCGTTTCAGAGAGCACCTCTATAACATAAATAAACACGCTCTCTGTCCGGTCTCCAAACATTTCAATAGCCCTAACCATAATGGTATCTCAGATATTGTAGTTACTGGTATACTCTATACTAGTAACACTGCAGATAGAATCTATATGGAGAACAAATTAATAACTAGATTTGGTACGTTGTCTCCATATGGATTGAACCAAATCCATAGTTTTACTTAGCTGCCATGTCTTTTTCCTGTTTGGTTTTTCCAATTATGTTTGAATCACTTCCTTTCTACATCTCTTTACTTTGTTTTTGTCAGGTTTAAGCGCCCTCTCCTATATTTTTTTAAATATTTTTTTCTGTTTTAGGTAGGATATATATATTGACATTATGTAAATTTAATTTATACTTATTTAAATGTGTTGTGTTTGTTTGTACTGATGAAGGCATGTGCCGAAACGTTTAATTCTGTATAATGTACAATTATTATTAAAGCTAACTCATATTGTTCTATTGACACAATTTGTTCGTGTCTTATTAATATATCAAAATGGAACAGGCAAGACAGTGGTTTTGTGGTGTCTAAAAATAGATTTCTACTTCCTCTTACGATCTATAAAAAGAATTTCAAAATATTACCTTGTGCAGACAAACAAATGACTCCAAATGCTGAGTTCTTGTATATGTCTGATATGTGCCAGCACAAGAATTTCAAAACTGTCTCAGCATATTTTAAAAGCATTTTCTCCAGATAATTTCATGCAAAACTTAATTTTAACTTAAGTTACCTTGCAGGTTTATTGTAAATATATCAACGCCAACTTGCAGGGTCAGCCTCTTTAATTTTGTGTTTAACTATTTTGTAATTTGTTGCATTAGTTGGATCAGTACAGTAATAAGTTGAAAGCTGGTCAAGTGCACAAAGTGCAAACTGGAACATTTTTAAGAGGATTTTGAAACCGTTGTAAACTTTTTTAGTTAGAGTTAGACCCTATTTGTTGAATACATATAGTTAGCTTGCATATAACCAAGTGACTGTGAAATAAATGTGAAGCAAAAGTAACTATCTTTAAACAAATTTATTTACAAATTAATATATTTTCTCCACATTATTACAAAAGATGGACACTATTTGTAATTACAAAATCAATATATTACTGAATAGGACAAGACCTTTTGTAAAAAAATATATTTATATGTGAAATCTGATTATTAAATTGCTTAATGCTAAACAGGCATTCAGGAAGACCTATAGACTTCAGTTTTTGCTTATTTCTAAAAGAAGTAGTAGACTAAAAAGTCTTGTTGAACATGACAAAAAAATGGCAAGTAAAAATTCAAATAAAGCAAAATTAGGCATAAAATATTGCACAATAATTCCATAATCATCAAATTAACAGCAAAATAAAATTAATTAAAGATTTTTTTTTTTAAACTCAATAATTTTCAGAGCTCATCAATCTATACTTATAAAGGAAGTGTGGCGATATATATATGTTGCAATCAATGGCAAAAAAAAGACCAGAATTAATGGATCACTCCAAGTCAATCTAGAAACTTGAAAAAATTAAGGGTAATACTGTCAAGATTCCTTGAAAAATAGAAAATTCTTTGGAAAATCCCTCTAGCATCCTTGAAAAAAAAATGAAAAAAACGAAATTTCAATCATCCTAGAACTTCAAATTTGATACCAGAGAAGCGGATATCAATACAATATCACAAATATTTTTTAAACGTTGCAGAGGGGGCCTGTTTGTCAGATCGCAAGAGGGGGTTGGGAGAATCATACATAGCTAAGTAGGAAAATCCATTTGGTGAAAATCCTTAAGACACATGACATCGATGGCATTCATCATCATCCTAAATATGAGTTGGATTTTTTCACAATTGGTGATTTCTCCATACTGATTTCCATGTGATTTCAGTAAGTTTGATTCGTTTAAATTTATGTTTGCATGTTTTATTAAGACCGACCTCACAAATAAAAATGACAAAAGAGATGAGAGGCATTTGGAAGATCCACGGGTGTCAACTTTTAAGGGACAGCGTGAGCCATAAAAATTAAGAGCATCTTTTGTCTACTGTGATATTCCAATAACAGTAAATTTTATACTTGCCTACCACTAAATTCTTTCTATTTCTTTCCTTCAAAATGGCAATTTGTTTTTTGGTAATCATGTTTTTTTTAAACATTCCAATTAATGTTCTCTTTTTGATAGTGTGTATTTTAATTTTACATTTTTACAGATCCCGATGTGATTTATTAGTAAATTAAATTACTTAATATTGCTCTAACTCTAAAGTGAGACAAGATTATGGGAGTAATGAGGTGTGTCTCCTAGGTGGGTTTAAGGTAAATAGAAAATAGATCCCGATGTGATTTATTAGTAAATTAAATTACTTAATATTGCTCTAACTCTAAAGTGAGACAAGATTATGGGAGTAATGAGGTGTGTCTCCTAGGTGGGTTTAAGGTAAATGGAAAATAGTGGGATGTATTTCCAATGATGTGGGTAATTTAAAGAAAATTTGAAAAAATCGGGGGGTGGGGAGGATATATAGCTTCTGAGACAGGAACTGCATTTATGTTTTCAATAAAAGGGGAAGGGTATGTTAGGACACGTTTTTTTAAAGTTAATCACTGTTATTATGTTATGGTTTTTTCATTAATTGCAATACAAATATATTTCCCTTTTTGTAAGTTTTATATCATGCAGCCAAAAAGACTGAGTGGAAATGGGGAACAGAAAAATAAGGAGATAGTAGTACTAATAGTTTAGTAATATATTTGAATGCTGTAGATCCTTTGAAAATATGAAACACCAAGAAAATTACTTATGAGTCCACAAATATGATTGTATTTCATGAGGGACAGGGAACTGGGTTAAGCGGAAGGTTGAAGAGCGGCGGAAACCAAAAGAGAGGTGGCATTTTTCAAAAATAGAAGTTGAGGAGAAAATTGGCTGATAGGAGAGAGCTGGTTTGAGGTTTAAGAGGTGGATGTTGTGGAGGGAGAGATGAGCTGGTAGTCAGGGGCTTAGACACATTAGTAAAAAAAAAAAGACTATTTGGGGATAAAAAATAAATATTATAGAGTATGTTGTGAGGTAAAAATCAAATTTAATAAAATATAGCAAGAAATTTAAACAAGATTCACAGGAAGCGGTAGATTGTATGGAAAATGGGTAACATTAAAATAACATCGCCCAGGAGATGAAACTTTAGTGTGCCATAAATTCAAAATCACTTAAAATAATGCGACTTCCAATAAATGATTAACCCCTCCCCCCACCTATAAATTTTTCCTACTGTAGTTAGCTGCTTCCTTTTAATAGTCTTGCACTGACTCAGTTAAATGGAGATAACATGCACAAAAATATAACAACAACTGCCCCCTCCCCCTTTTTTTTTCGATAGTGAAGCACAGATATTTCGCTAGTATAACATAAATATGAAAAAAATCATAGTTTTTTAATTAGTATCAATTATGAACTCTGACAAAAGATATAAATAACAAGGATTCAAAAAAATAACATTAAAAAAATGTTTGTTCTATTTTCAAACCAACCTTCAATCTTATTCTGAAAGACATTCAAGTTGTGTAGTCATGAAAATATCAATTCTTAATGAAAAAGGAAAAAATTGACAACTTTTGAAAACATTGCAAATCAGCCATATTATTCAACATGTAAGGCAAACATCTAACCCCAATAATTACAAAGTTTACACTCCCATGGGAAATATTTCATGTTAAATTTTAAATGAGTTTGTAGTCTGTATAATTTATGATATATAAAAAATAATATTTAAAAATACATATAGTCTATCACATTAAATTCAGAAATTTTAATAAAGTCAGAAAAATATGATTGGTCCTTTTAGTTTAAGATGAGTCTTTATTAGATTAAATATAATTTAATTTTGTTTATCTCTTTTCTCTTTGTTGGCGTAGTAAACTAATTATGAAAAATTTAATCTGACTGAATATGAGTTAAGTGTAAATGCATTAAACGGAAATCGAATAAATTTAAATGTGCAAAAAATAACAAATACGCTTTTATTTTAGAAAAAGTTTAAGTATTTTCATTATAAATTACAAATACATTTGAGTAACAACTAAGGAACTATTTTAAGCATTTAAACCGAATTTAAATTATAAATAATTTTAACAAATTTAATCTGATTGAATATGAGTTAAGTGTAAATGCATATAGGAATGTTTTTTTTAAAATCAGTTTTACTTTCATTTTATGCTACAAATATTTCCTTATCTTCAAAAATTTTTTAACGTTTAAGCATGTAAGTATAGATCTATACAATTTATTATACTTACAGCCTTAACAACATTTCCTCTTAAAAATTCATTAATACTCTCTAATTCTTTTTTTAAGTGATGAAAAAATTTTAAAAATGTATTTACCTCCAATAACCTTGGTCGCAAGTTAAAAATAAGAATAAATTCAAAGAATTCTTAAGATAAAAAGAATTTATTTTTTACTTCAAGAAGGCACACTCTTTTTTTTTTAAATTATCAAATAACTGATCTCAATTAAAGTGGCAAGTATATTAAATATTCAAGTCTATCAGGACTATTTGACCATTAATTTAAAGTTCATCCTTTCTTTTTAATGAGTCAGGAAGCTTGTCACTGGCACAGCGAAATCCTAAATTTGCAGCTGAACTGTCAGGCGTATTTTGGCTACGGGCAGCACAGCGATACCGATAACAGTATGACTGTAAAAAAAAACAACATATATTAGTGATGTAATTTTTGAATTTGTTTTTACAAATCAAAATGAATAGTGTTGAGAGTTACGCCCCTTGACATCCACAACCACCTAGACTTCTTCATTGGTCCATGAAAAAAGTGGTTACATTGACAAGCATGAAAGAGCATTATGAGATCATAATTATCTTTAACATTTCTTTCTTTGACAAAGTCCAACACCATTTGTTAGTTAATTATGACATAAAAAATATAAATGCTAATATTATAATGCATTTAGCCATAATACAATTTAAAAAAAGAGATGAACCCAGATTATGGATTGGAAATTTTACTCTGCCAAGTAATGTGAAAAAAACCCCACAAAACCTGCCAAAAAATGTATGGTTTAAATGGGAACAAAAATTGCAGTTAACGTGACTTAATGTTTAACTACAGAAGCTATTCCATCGATGCAACATGTCGTACACCTATTTTATTCATACTTTGTCTACTATTGCTACATTTGCAGTACACTTATTTTAGTTATACTTTGTCTGCTATTGCTACATTTGCAGTACACCTATTTTAGTTACACTTTTTCTGCTATGGTACACTTATTTTAGTCATAATGTGTCTGCTATTGCTACATTTGCAGTACACTTATTTTAGTTACACTTTGTCTACTATTGCCACATCAACAATCAACACAGAACTTTGACTTACTTTATGACACTGAAAGGATCCTCCTTTCTTTACTTTGTCCACACCAGCAGATGGGCCTTTCTGTTAAAAAGAAAATAGAATCATGTAGCAATAATATTCTCCTTTAATGCCTTCTGCGATGACTCACTAAACATCTAAGGAGCCAATCAAACCGGAGGTGAATTCAACTTGACAAGTTGGGGGTCATTTCAAGAGTTATCTTTGACATCTAAAATCAACTTTTCAGTAAATATCAGGACAATACCAGTATATAACAACAAAAATTCATAAACTTTCTTTATTTTTCCTTTTGCTATATATGAAATAGTTACTGCACAGATTTCAGAAATTATGCGAAGATCTTTGATCATCAGCTTATTTTGGCTCCACTTTTCTTAATACCAGGACATGGTAGCCCTAAGAAATATGATTTGTTAACAGTGTCTATGCTTTCAATTATTTTTCTCAAGTTTTCAACATTAAATCCCTTTGTGAATAAACTAGTTTCCATGCTTTCCAGCTCTGAATAGATGAATTAAGTACTGTGCAATTTGTTCAGGCTTTGAAGGCAAATCGTTCAATTTCTAAATAGTGTGTAGGAATCAATACAGGCACAGCTTATCATATTGGAGGCAAATATCTAAATCTCTAAAAAGTGTGTATCAGTGCACCTATAGCTTATAATCTCAATGTTAAATTTCTTACTGGATTTTTTTTTGGTTCTGGAGAATGTCTTATCTCCCACCAGTCTTGAGTCCATTCCCAAACATTACCTATAATATTTTTCAAGCCAAATGTGTTCTGGTCAGGAAATGCTGTAACCTGATAAGTTCAAACAAAGGAGAATAAATGTGGAATAAAAATACCATTGATAAACTTTTTAAATATATTGGGATTTACTTCAAAATTTAAAAAAAAACCATAATAAAATATTTTATTATTTCTACATTTATTTAAATTGATTATTTTTATTGATTGAGGCTACTTGTTTTACATTTCAAAACATATCTATTGCGGGTAAAATATTTATTTTATCATTATTACTGAGTACGGTATTATTTTAACTTTTCTTTACTTATAAACTTAATATGCATTAAAAATGAAATGTACAAAAGATGTCACTTTCCTCTCTTCACCTTAGAGTAAGTAGGAAATAAGTTTGTATATATGCCAGATCAGATTTTTGAGTTGCCATTTCAATATTTTTAGGTTATGGAGAAGCTTAATTCCTGTGCTTTAACTGATTTTTGGGGTCAAGTTTGAATTTTTGTGTGTGGATAGCTTTTCAATGCATGACTAATAGGCTGGAGGATTGAATTTGAAATAAGTTTCATAATATGCTAATAAGGGTAATTTTAGGTGAGCACATTCCATAAATTTGTATTGTTTTTACCCAATAATATTTTCATAAATTTACAATTTTTTAATAGAACATAATAGAACACTCACTCGATTATTTTTAATAAAAGAACCACATAAGATTATCATAGTTATATGAAAATTTTTGCCATTCAACTCAATAAAAATAGGAATCTAGCCCAGATTAACATAATCTGACCCAGATTCAGAATAATAGGGATCATCAGTATCAAAAAGTCTAACCCCTTTGATCAGAATTACATTAAACAGATGCAGTAAAAAACCTCAAAAGAATACCGGGCAAGTTCCGATGTAACCATCTTCCCCTGAGTTAGAGTTGGGAAACTCTCCCTGCCAAATGTTCATCCAGTGCTCTCTTCTTGGATTTATGTTGTTGCCCCATGGGAAAAGTCTGAAATGTTAATCAAGATTTGTATATTATGATTTTTTACATTTTTAAACTTGGAATGAAAGGTTTAGGTTTTTGAAGAAAATGAAGTCAACTTAACAAGCTGCTAAAGCAGGAGTGAGGCATTTTGGTGGGAGCAGAACAGGAGCAACCAAAAACATAGGCTGCTCCAAGCTTTTTACCTAACATATAAAGGACCATGATGTAGTGATCCTCAGCATTCGGTACCATACATAAATATATATATTTATGCCCTTTCACGCATACCAGCCTATTGTGTAGCTTGTGCAAGAATGCAGGCTACCTGTGATATATGAAATAGAATATCATCTGATTTTTTATCTGCATTCTATTCCTTAAAAATTCAGTAATTCAGCAGAATTTTTTTTTCAAAATTATAGTTTCACTTTCAATCTAATTGACAGTTTATATTGAAGTTTAAATTAAAAACAGGAAACTTTTTTTTATTAGGGAAAATGGTTTAGGTTAGGGTTAGGCTTACAGTTTAAATAGATACTAATGCAAACTCAATCTGCTTTAAAATTGTTAGTAATGACCTAAAATATATATAAAAATGAGCTATGCTGACCCTAACACCAAAGAACCGAAAAGATTTAAATACGTTCGGATTCTTAAAAATGATCATAGTTATTTTCTATTATTTTACGGAAATCAAATAAATTTAAATGCGCAAAAAATAACATAAATACATTTTTATTTTAGTAAAAGTTTAAGTATTAGTATTATAAATTAAAAATACTAAGGAACTATTTTAAGTATTTTATCCGAATTTAAAAGTTATTCAAAAAAATTTATTCAAAAAATTATAGATCTCTAATATAAGATTTACATTCTAATCACATTTATAGGGAAAACACAAAAATCAGTTGTGTTTAGTGCATTGTTAATATTGCCAAATAAAATTTTAATTAATTTGTTCTAAATAAACAGGCAAATGATGTCATAGCGCAAATTGCCTATATTAGCCAAAACTCTTAAATTTCTTTGATTTAATAACCCCATATATAATATAATTGATTGCTTTTTAGATTGTTAATAAAACACACACAAATTTTAGCTTTGTATTTTTAACATTTAATAAGTTTTTACTTTTTGTTATTCCAAAAATATACTTTTATTAAATTTATTATGTAATCAAATCTGAACCTTTAAATATACTTCTAATAAGAAAATGCAGTTTAAGTCAATCAGTGCAGCAAAACTCCATAGCCAAATAGCATTCCCTAATCCACTTATAACTCATCCAAATAAGAACAAACTATATGAAGTGCAAAATATGTTAGTTTGGGTATGGAAGGCACTACAATTCGGAGGAAGATTTTATTAATTTTATTTAAAGTGGGGTGGGGGATGTTAGGTCATTTTGCCCCAAGCAGCACAAGATACGTCTCAAAATAAAGGAATGAATTTGATGAATAATTAATCTTCTTGGGTACATACATGTTTGAGGTAGGAAATAGGATGCGTACATTTGTACGTGGATGATAATATATTTAAATCCTATGGTATTACATTTGTGAAAAAAGAGATGTTACATTCTCTTTTTACAAATAAACATATGTTTAACAATTAAGAAAATCAATGGCTCTATGTAGGTGGATACATTTATTTAAGGATACCCATGAATATCAAAACCCAATAAATACCCATAAATATCAGAAGCCAATCATTTTAAACACTTGAAAATTTAATTTTTAAAAATGGAGATGGGTTAACATTTTCTTTAAAAAAAATGAAAATATATATTTTTTTTACTTTGCGAAAAGTAAAGTGGATATTTTTATGAGATTGACAATTGAAAAAAAAAAGATACTCTGGTCTGTTATAGACAGGAAAAACGGTTGCGAGATTCTTCTTTACATAAAAGAATTCATTGCTTTACGATTTTCTGATAACATATAATTTTTAAAAAACGAGGCAAAAGTGTGTTTAAATTTTTGATGAAGATATTGTTATATCAAATTCCTTTAATATAAAATATTTTTATATCATATATAGAGTTTTTGTTGTAAATTTAAGATTGTTTTTTAACAAGTTTTACATAAAAAAAGTTGTAATTTAAAGGCACGAAAAGGGGTAAATCTAAAGTGTTTCTCTTGCGTAGAAATCATCTCTCAATTAACTTCTTTAGTGAGAATAGTGATATAACTAGTGATAATTTAGATTGGGTAATTTAAGGTCATGTTTAGAGGTAAAAAAAGAAGTTTAGGAGCGTGAAAGGAAGAAGGGTAGCATATAATATATAACAGATAAATATTTCTCAAAACTTAACTTAATGATGTCAGAAACGTAAATATCATTCCATAGATACTGCTTTTTGCAGTTAGGAATTTTGATGGGTTTTTGCAATAGCAGGTAAAAATTATTGCAAAGAACCTACCATTATTATCCCGATAAAATCGGGTCATTTATTCTAGTATTATTAGAATATAGCTTAAACTGTACTTGCATTTATATATAATGAAGGAAACTCTATTTCACCTTTCTGATTTCCCACCTTTACAGGCATATTCAAACTCTGCTTCAGTTGGCAACCTTTTCCCTGCCCATGCACAATATGTGACGGCATCATTCCATGATACATGCACGACGGGGTGGTCCATTCTGTCGACATAGATTATTTAAATTCTTCATAAATATATTGTTGTGTGATGTCTTGGTAATTGATATATATATATTTTTGAGAATCTCGAGGGGGACAAGACTAAGAATGAGAGTAGATGAGAAAGAATAATAAACATGGAGCACTCACTCTAGTTAGGAGTGTGAAGTTATGAAACTGAAAGAGAGAATACTTGTAATTTTTCTTGTATTTCAAAGGAGCTAACATTAAATATTATTATATATCTTTATTTACTGTGTAATTACAATGACAATAGAAAGTGTTGTGCAGAAACTGTTGTCCATATTTTCATTGAGGTCATCATCATCATCAGTGACGCTACAGCCTATGTAGGGCCCTGGCCTGCTCCACCACATCGCTCCAAATGGCGGAAAGCCATGCACAAATCCCCAACTGGTGTATATCCATCTCCACAACATTGATCCATCTCAACCTTGGGCGACCGGTGAGTCATCTGCCCCTAGGCTTCTGCCTGTATATAACTTTTGATGCTCTACATTCCGGCATCCTTTCAACATGCCCTGCCCAGGGTAGTCTGCCTTTTTGTATCATTGTGTTTATGGGTGGGTCTTTGTACAAATGACCACTAAGGGAGGTGAGGAATGCAGGTGAGCTGTGTGATGGATTGAGTCCCCAAATATTTGTCTTGAGATGAATGTCAACTCCTATGTTCTACTGGATTGGTTAATTCGTTAAGTTCTTTCACAAGTTGAAATACGTCGTACTATATTGAATAAACTCAAGTCCTTTTCATAAAAATTATAAATTATATATCTAAGTATAAACTATACACATAAACACATGCATATAGTGCTGCTCGGTATCAGACATAAATAAAACACATCCTACTTCTATAAAGTTCCATTCACGACTGCTGCACGACTAAGACTTACGTCACAATACAGTCTAGACAATGCGCCACTATCAGCATAAAACTACATCACAGAGTCAAGCGCGGGAAGAGCGTTCCTTAACTAATAAAACTCAAACACACGCCGCGCGTAATGAAATATAATAAATAATAATATTCAGTCCCAACAATTATTATTGAACTCCCATAATCAACAATGAACCCACAGAAGTTATAATACATATGTTGATCAGCTGATGGATTTGGCCTAAAACCTCATCAGTTAAAAGGCCTCCTATACAAAAATATGCCTTTTAAAAATGTTGAGAGCAAATAATTTTGCAATTATAGTTTTTCCAGAAATCCATTATATAAATAATCAATCTATGGAAAATATTCATGAAAACTGTTGTATAAGAAGTAAAAATAGTTGTATGCATATTGACCTGTCATAGATGTTTGAATCAGGTCCTGCTGGATGATGCCAGTCTGCTCCATCTACTGGAAGCCACCAGGGTGCAGCTGCTACCTGAAAATGTCATATTTGTCATCTTCATGATGTAAAATTTATATATGAAGGATATCCATCGATAATAAGATAAGGACAGACAGAAATAGCTCTCTTGAACATTTTTTTTTTTAAAACATTGCTGACATCATTTGTTTAACTTTCCCAAGACAGCTCCATAATTTAATATGTATTAATAATAAAATAAAAGAACAATCTTTCGGTTTCTTTGAAAAACTTAAAGTGAGCTTTAAAAAAATTTTTCTTGTGTTATTTGTGCTTACTAGTAAAAAATTTTAATTTTCAAATGAATTCTAGCCCTACAAGAATAAAAATATTTTTCAGATTCATTTAATTTAAAATTTTTAATTTAAAAAAAAACTTTTGTCAGAGTATTTCTGGATTTACATGCTTTGAAGCATTAACTGAATGGTTGTCAAATGGTTTTAATTAGTATTATCTTACTATTAGAGCATCCAGCAAAATTCAAGTAATCAAGGAGCACATACTTTTTTACTGCTACATCCAACCCACACATGCCTGTTATGCTGCTTGTCATCCTCCCTAATTCCAAGACCCAAATCACCAAACTGACACCTTTTGCCCATCCCTTAGTAAGCATGTTCGGGGTTTAGCAAAGCTAACTCCAATATAACATGACTGCTAAAGTTTAATGCAATGGTCACTAGAAAATCCCATTTAGTTTCAAAGAAATCTTAATTTTAATATCTACTAGGTTCAGAGATGGCTTGCCAAACTCTTGCAAATTTTATTAGATGATACAACTATCAAACAGAGCTATGTGGAATCTATTAATGCAGAACATTATATTGATGGTCCTACTGTTGAACTTGAATTTTAAATGTGTACTAGTAGATTGGTAGTAAATGTTAGCTACAGTGAATCCTGTGAACATGGTGATGGCAGTAAATTTTGAAAAATGAACTGACATTCATCTTCGCATATTATAATTGAAGAATTGTTCTATAAATAACCTTAATTTGTATTCTATTTGTGAAATATCGTTAACTTTGATACCCGGGTACTTATTAAAGATTAAAACAATTATGACTACATTTTTTTTAAAGATTTTCTTTTTTTTTCAAAAAAAAGAAAAACAAATAGCTAATGGAGTTATGCCCTTTGTTTATATATGACATACGACCCCATTCTCTTTCCCCATATTTCTGCAATTATTATTAACTGAGAAGATTGTGTGATATTTCAAATTTGTATTATCATGTACAAAGCAATGGAACATATGAAACAGTATTTTTTTATGATGACATGATGTCAAATGCTACTGAAGGGGTTGAAAACAAAATACATCTTTTGTACAAACCATCTGAGTTATTTTCTTTTTGGTCTCTTCACTGATATACATATCCATTACAAATGAGTTGCCAAAGTTTTCAGCCTGAAACAAAACAAAGAATGGAAATAATAAACTATGGCCTATGAATGAAACATAGGTTTCTAAAAGTCAAATGAAGGACCGTACAGTGAAAACTTTGAATAAAAAACATTGAAATAACGCTGTTCCTGGCAAATGCAATAACTCAAACCCGACAGATCAATTTCTTAACAAAAAAACCCTTGCAATAGTGCAAGGTACTGGCATCTTGAACAAAGTTTTCATGCCTCACTAATTGTGTGTTTCTTAATCGTTTGGTTGGCAGCATGTTGTAGAAAAGATTTGCTATGAGACTGAGGTTTGTGAATGAACTGTGGGTACTCATGTATAGATTTGGCCAATGCTTAGTGAAAGCAAGGGAATCAAAATGGTGACAAAGCACATACAGTGTATGATACACATATATTTTGTTTGGATGATAATAGATTTTTCAAAAACTGTAGGCTACACGTATAAGCAGATGAGCTGCATAAAGAATTTTTAAGCACAATAACAGCTAGATTAGTTTCATATTGTTCTGCAGTAACTATAAGATAAGATTAAATTCCTTTATTGATCCAAACAAATGGAATTTTTTTTTATTACATTGTTAAAATACATTTTCAGCACATAAATAAATAGATATTTTAATAAAGTCCACATTTTTCAACATAAAAAATTTGAACACAAGCCATCTACTCATCCACATTAAATTTTTTCACTAGTGAAAAAAAAACGCCATTCAGGGAACCCCCTTAGTCATATCAGGGACTTATTAGTTCTCATGTAGATTTGTGACTTCTGGGGGAGCACGCAGGTAAATTTGTACAGATTGGGAAACAAAAGAATTTTTTTATCTTTCAGTCCTCGCCCTGAGAGAAAGAATTCATCCTGAATGGGCTGATCCTAAATATCTGTATGAAGAGGGTGGGATGTATCAACCCAAATTTGTTTAGTTTTACAATAACATCTTTCTTCAAATAGTTCTTCAAATGAAGAATGTTTAGTTTGTGTTATGTTCCTTGCTTTCTTGATTAGTCTGTTTTTTTCGGTGTTTAATATCAGACAATGAATTCCCACACCAGCAGGTTATACTGAAATTAAGTAGGCTTCCAATTTTTGCACTGTAGAATAAGTTAACGACTTGTTTGTTTACGCCGAAAGTGTTCAGTTTTTTAAGGTAGAAAAGTCTTAGGTTGAATTTTTTATACAGCATTTGACTGTGCTCATGCCATGTTAATATGTTAGCTTATTATTAATGGTGACACCTAAGTACTTATTTGACTCTACTTTCTCTACATTTTGATTTTTTATGTTGAGTTCTGTAATCTGGTTCCCCCTCCAGAAATCAACAACCATTTCCTTTGTTTTTAAGACATTCAGCTTGAGAAAATTTTCATCGCACCCATTGATAAAACTTGTAACTAAGTAGCAGTATAAGCCTTCTCCCTCGGATATTTAGTCCACGATGGTGGTATCATCAGCAATTTTTATGATTGGAATGGTGTCGCTTGATGTCTGAATATCATGGTATATATTGTATAAAGGACAGGGGAGAGAACACAACCCTGTTGGGCCCTGCTGCTTATTACTCTGGTTAGAGATGATTGGTTATTAACCTTGTCATATTGTGGGCGATTTGTTAAAAGGTTCAGTATCCAAGCTTGAATATTTGAATTTACACCTAACGAGGAAAGTTTCTTTATCATAAGGTGTGGTTGGCTAGTGTTAAATGCTGATGAGAAGTCTAAGAAAAGCACTCTAGCATATTTTTTAGGGCTGTCTAGATGATGATAAAGTCTCTCCAACAATAGTAAGATAGCATCCTCCGTGCTTCCTGTAGGGTTATAAGCAAATTGGTGGGGGTCAAGTTTTTGCTGCACTTCATTCAAAATTTGTTTCAGAACAAGTTTCTCAAAAAATTTCATACAACATTTATTTATTTAGGCATTTTTATATACGGTAGCGCTTACCTTAAAGCTCTAAGCGCTTTACAATTTTTAAAAACATGTAAACTAAGTAAAATAAAATAAAATAAAAATGAAAAACCAGAGACACTAGGATAGTAACTACTATACTATAGAAACAATTAAAATGGCTAAAAAACGAGTACACTTTGGCACGTTTTGGCCTATACTACAGGATCAACCCGAGACAGAAAATGAGGCAGGGCAAGGAGGGTGCATCACAGGTCATAGGCGGATCCAAACAATAGAGGTAAGTGGGACAGGACGTAAGTTGTTGTTGTAAGTTACCTTATTTTTCTTTGGAATTGGTATAATTTCTGAAGTTTTCCAAATTTTTGGTATAGTGTGGGCGTGGCTTAGTCTTTGAAGTATCGTGTTTACTAATTCTCTATTAATTAAACATCGTTATTATGTCTACTAGTAGCTTATGGAACGTTCTTGATTGTACCGTATTAGAAAGGTAAGGGCGTTTCTAAACACGTCAGTAGAACCACATATATAAAGGATTGACAGGCACAGAGAGAGGGAGAGATTCAGCTTCTCGAATTTGTAGAAGACCTGATGACCAATCTGGAGAACCACAAGCAGACTGACGTGCTAGTAATGGACTTCGCAAAGGCATTTGACCGTGTGAATCATAGTTTGCTTCTACGCAAACTCCAGAGATATGGGATTCCAAGACACCACTAAAACATGGATCTCTAGCTTCCTCAGCCACCGATGCCAAGCAGTAGTGGTGGACGGTACAAGCTCCTCCTTTGTCGATGTGAAGTCAGGGGTACCCCAGGGATCAGTCGTGGGCCCCTGTTTGTTCCTAGCATACATTAATGACCTACCCGAGAAACTGACATCACAGGCAAGACTGTTCGCAGATGACACAGCAGTGTATAGGACGATCGCCAACAGATCTGACCAGGACCAGCTACAACAGGATCTCAATCTGTTAGCTGAGTGGGAGATGAGCTGGGACATGGAATTTCACCCTGCCAAGTGCCAGACACTATCAGTCTCTAGAAGTTGTACTCCTCTCCACTACCAATACGAATGCACGGCCATATACTTGAGCAAGTTTCCTCCGTAAAGTACCTGGGTGTTACCATTCAAAGAGTGGTCCACTGGGACGAGCATATTAACAATGTATGTAACCAAGCAAACAAGACCCTGGGGTTCTTAAGGCGAAATCTAAAGATTGGCAACGCCTGTGTGAAAGAAAGAGCATATAAAGCCTTTATTCGTCCGATTTTAGATTATGCATCTTCAGTCTGGAACCCATTTACCCAGAAGAGCATTGACAGGTTGGAGGCGGTCCAGCGACAAGCAACACGCTTTGTCCTAAACCTCTACAGGAATACCTCTAGCGTTGGCAGCATGCTGGAAACACTAGACTGGTCACCATTGGAGGAACGACGACGACAATCCAGGCTCTCCATGATGTACAAGATAAATAATGGGTTGGTCCACTGTTCCAGTATTAAACAGAAACTCGTCCCTCTCCCCCATAGACAGCGATGAGGCCATGACAGGCAATTCAGGCTCATACCAGCAAGAAGCCAGTATACCTCGACGAGTAAGGACGGGTTCTGTTAGTCCCTGACCTTGAATCTTTCAAAAGGAACGGTTGAGGCGACAACACTAGACACATTTGTGTCTATTGCCTCAAGCCTTCAAACCCCTAGTGCATGATTCCCTCACAATGTGGCACTGGAAATCAGTGAAATTTCCTCATCAACACCAGGAACAGAAACATTGCAAATCCCATCTACATGCTTAGGAGCCAAAATGATCAATAAATTGATCGTGGGCCCTTAAGATATAGAAGAAGAAGATATATTTTAACTTCACGAGACATGTATCTTTGTGTACTTATGTGTTTATTGGCTTTCGTCACTGTACATTATTAATTGGCACATTGTACTAACTGTGTTAACTGTGTACCGATACAAGATCTACCATACTGTAAGTTGATGATTTGTAATTATATTTATTTTGTTTTGTAATAATATTATTACTAAATTAAATCTTATTAATTGTAATTTTTACTGTTTTGGGTGTCGTAATTTTGATATTGTATTTATCTATGGTATTGTCCTTTGTTAGGCACTGTTTGAACAAGCCATAAATTTAAAATAGGAGATTAATTTCTCACAAGAGAAGCCAGTGCGTAACTATAGTTTAACGAGCCTACCACTTAATTTGTCTGGCCCCGAGGCCTTGGCTGCGTCCACTTGTTTAAATTACGACATTACTTCCTGTTCCGTGAACAAGAAAGTATCATCCTGTGTAGTACTGCCATCTTTAAGTAAATGTATGTACTTTGTTTTCTTATTTCTTCTTATATTTAATGTGCAAGAATTATTTTTTATAATTATGGTGCATGATCATCATTCTGGTTGAATCTGTGAAAGGGACCATCACTGCAAATAACACAAATTTTGTGCTATTCACAGGTTTTAATGTATAAAGATTAATGAATTAATGTGAGACAAGTCATGCAAAAATTATATTTAGTTGTTTCAATACTTAAAGTTAGGTTTAAGACCAAGCAATATTTACAAAGTCAAAATATGTAAGTTAGATGAAATTAGATAGTTCTTTCAATATTTGTTGGCATATTGTTGTCAATATTTTTGTAAAATAAAATATATATGTATACAGGTAAGAGTTTACTAAGTCTAAGGGCACTTCTCAGAACGGCGGTCCCAAATTAAAAATAGAAATACTTTTTGCTATAAAGTGTGTCCGGCTACCAGCCTATTAGCAGCCCATAATTTGTGACGTAATTTTTTACTTCAAATTTTTTTTGCAGACTAATTAATGCTTGTAATAATATAAAATAAACCATACCATTCCCGGCAGACAGCAAACACCGGTTCATATTTCAAATAATTTTTTTGTCAGGAAACATTCTGCAAACTTATGACTTTTGATCAATGCCGAAGGCAATGTATGCTTTAGTTAGTGTGGCTTGCTAAGCACTGACTAATACTATACAAAACAACAATTCAACAGAGATAACTTTTGTTTCTCTCTTGCATTTTTCTTTCTTTTTCACTTTTTTTTTTTTTTTTTTTTTTTTTTTTTTTTTTTTTTTTTTTTTTTTTTTTTTTTTTTTTTTTTTTCTTTTTTTTTTTCTTTTTAAATTTTTTTCAGGGTTTGATGATGATGAAGAGGCTGATGAAAATCGTGATCTTCAAAAAAAAAATAAAAAATTTTAGAGACTTAGACATTAACAAATACGGCACCCATTATTGGTGGCTTTTACTATTAGGCTGGTAGCCGAACATTTTATAACGAATAGTATTCTATTTTTAATTTGGGACCGCCAATCTGAGGAGTGCCAGTCTAACAGCTGGGCCTATTTAATTTCCAAAGGGAAGCATTATCTGCACAGCTCTGCGAATAATGTCGAGTGTTATTGGCAGAATGAAATTTTCAAATAATGCAGGAATTTTCGCAAGATCACGCAAATTTTTAGAAATAATTAGAATCATATTCCAAGCCAGGGGGGGGGGGGGGGGGGGGGGGGGTTGTGTTGGTGTGTAGTGTTAAGTAGTGTAGGACAGATCAATCTTTTATGAGCATGGCACAAACACATTTCAAATCAGACTGAAGTATCCATTCTTGTAAGGGAGTGGGGAGTCATTAGTATGTTTTAATTCTTCATATAGACTTACATTTACCCAATTTAGAGAGGTCTTAAAATTTAAAATGATATCAAAGCTTGAAAGGGTATCATTTAGTTTTTTAAAGCACTATGATATTTCACTTAGTCCAGAAATTTTCTGTCAGAAATATTTGCAGGGCCATGCCATGCAACAGTGTTATGATGCAGAGAAGTAGCTGCATCAGACCGCCATGTGAGAGATGGGGAGGGGCAGTGGCATATAAGCCCTACATCAAAATATAATGTAATTTAAATGGCAGCGGGTTCGACTAGCCAACCAAAGGTCCCAGAATGTAACCCTGGTGAAGGCTAGGATTTTTTCCTGTTTCTTGAGGCTGTCCCTGAGACTACCCAGCTCTGGTGGGTACCTAGCATTAGTTAGGGAAAAATAAAGGTGGCTGGTCATTGTGCTGGCCACACAGTATGCCAAAGCCACAGAAACTTGTAAAAGCTGCTTACATCCGTTGCCCCAATGGTAGGCCAACATGATCTGAAAGGGAACTTTACTTTCCCAAGTCTGACATCATACGAATACACCGCGGGTATCCAAATAATTTGATTATGCCTTTTTATATTTAGACTAGGGGTGTGCCGGATCCGTTTTTTCCAACCGGATCTGGATTTTCTTATGCGAAATCCGCCGGATCCGGATTCGGATCCGGATTCCGGTTTCTCCCGGATTCCGGATTTTGGTACTATTGGTAGATACTTCGGTAAGTCAAGGAGGACTACTACTTTTTGTGTATGGGAATTCGCAATCGGCGCAAAAATTCCGAGTTTTTAATTTTCCGATGTGTGTGTCTATTTATTATTAAATTAGTACTTTCGATATATATTTGAGTTCCGTTCCATTTGGATAAGTGTCTTACGAGAGACGCCATGTTTCTACGCGTTCGCAGCAGGTTATGCAGCTCGCTCAACCTAATTTCGCCATGGGGTTGGCCACGCCCCCCTTTTTAATGGCGGAAGTTGACGATACTTAGGAAATATTAATTTATTATCACTATTTACATCAAAATAATTGATAACTTGTGTTTCAGAATGCATTTAAAGACATTTAAACTGGAATGTTTTAATTTGAGCTTTAACAACCCGGTAGAATCCATATTATAAATGATCAGAATTTACCGTGTGCAACACGTTGTCATTGGCAACCATTCACAGCCACTTGCATAACTGTATCGTAGTACTACCTCAGAGTTTCATTCATAAGAGTTTGCCGTGTGCAAAAACTATTAAACCATTGGTCAGGGAAAGCTTTAATTAATTATTCATGTGCCAAAGTTGAAAGTTTAAACTAAGTCTAAACAGTATTTTAGTGATAAGGCAGGGAATGCGTTGCCTTATATAAACTATATAGTCATTGCGCATGACGGGATTGGTGGAATGAGATCACAGAATGTGGAGATGCAGTCCATGTTAAAAAATGACAAACCAAGTCGTACTTTAAAAATTCATAACTTTAAAACTACAACAGCTAAAAATATGATTTTGGTGTTATAATTCTTTAAAAAATTACATCTTTTCAACTATGCCATTGGTTTATTTTTACAAAAAGTTTAAATTTTCTTATCAAAGTCCCTACACTATTGGCCACTATTAGCGGTGCTGACTCTAGCCTCTGGTATGTACGGAATATTAAACATTAAACAAGCTCAACGCTCGAAACAATCGATTAATGTATCGTGATCGTGTGGAATTCGGGAAAGAGAATTACTTTTATTTCAGATTATGATCCGGTGAGTCACAAAATCTGGCAAATTCCGAAATCCGGTATATTCCGGATTCCGGAATCCGGTTGTTCCGGATACATGTAAATCCGGCGGAACCGGATTTCACTGGATAGTGCAAAATCCGGCGGAACCGGATTCCGGACCGGGGTCCGGCACACCCCTAATTTAGACCCATAATTACAACAGTAGCAGTATGGCTTTTTGTTTCAAGTTATCAACATTTTTTTTATGAGAGCTCAAATTGTTCATGCCACAGATATGTTTTCAGTATGTTCATTTCATTGTTATTACAAGTGTTATTTCAAATATTTCTGATACTTTTGTGAAATAAATGTTTCCAGTAAGAATTGAATATGAAGCTATGCACAATATCTTTCAACTAGCTGACCACCCCACGCACAGAACTTTTTATACCGATATAGTTTTATTGCCGATTTCCGTTCACTTATACAGAAATTACGTGACCAGCTGTGAATCTGTGAATAATGCCGAGCGTTATCGGCAGACTGAAATGTTCGAATAATGGCAAGCATTATGCGCAGAGCTGTGCCACTGTGCGAATAATCACTTCGATTACCAAAACTTATGGAACATACCTACCTCTGTTTTGTAATTTTGATCTTTAACAAATATTTCAAATTCTGCATTGCTAACTTCAAATTTATCTAAGTAGAATGAATCCAGTGTTACTTCTCTAGCTGGCATTTCGCCATCTGCAATAAAAATGGGTTCATCTGTACCCATTTTGAACCTACCACCTGGAATATAAACCATTTCATTTGTTCGTTCTGAAAGGCTTAAAATTTCCTGTTTATTACGTGCAGTATCAATTTTATTTTTTTCAGCCTTGCTAGCTGCAACATCGTTCTTGGAATAACAAGTATAATCATTATCTTTATTATTATTGGCTTCTTTGCTGTCGGACGGCAAGGGCGAGTCCTGAAGTGACTTCTGACGACTTATTTTACAACCACAATCAGAATCCCCATTTTTTTTAATTGTGTTTTCATTTAACGAGTTATCATCAATATCGCATTTAGAGGATTCAATGCATGTAAACAGTGTATAAATAATTATATATAAAGCAACTATGCTTTTGAAGTTATTGAAAACACAGAAAATCGACATATTATTGTTTAGGTTGTTTTTTTCCCCCACTAAATTTAGAGTAATCGGTCCTGGTTACGGTGTCTTGTATTTTGTAAGTAGCAATTCTATTTTTTCGCCGCTCTTTTTTTTTTTGTTCAAGATCATTGATTCGAATGACGAATGCAATAACATCGTAATTAAAGAAAGTACATACTTAAAGTGTGCGCCTTAAAAATGTTCTCACTGATATCTATTTATATTCTACACGGGTAAATTCATAAATTCTTTCACTGCCCTCTAGAATTCTTCTTTTAAGGTAAGTGCTATTTTAAAAATTTTATTCTGTTTTTTCTGTTGTTTGTTCGCTGACGAAGGCTTCCTGCTGATACTTTCGTTGTTTTGTTGCATTCATTTCTTCAGGTTTGATCATTCTTTGTTTAACTCATTTCCTTTTTAAATTCATGAAGCTGCATTCATTTTTTCTCTCGATGACTGTTTTTTGTCCTTAATCCTTCTGTCTGCTCCAGTCTACAGCTCCACACAGGGCTGGCTCAAAGCAAATAGAGAAATTATCAGGGGTGCCATGTGCTTAGGGCATCATCCCATCAGCGATTTTTAAAAATATGAAAAAGCATTGCATGTGGGCGCCATGAAAAAAAATAATTGTTGTTGCCAAATGTGTGTCTGCCGTACTATATAAATGGTATTTCGTACATAGAAGAAATAATTTTTACTTTATTCACTATGTATACATAGATCAAAATCGTACAATTAGTTGAGATTAGCTGAATGTGTCAAAACCATTAAATATGAAATTACGGGAATTAGAAAAGCTCTTTATGAACTTTCAAAATTGTCTTCATCTGATCTTGCAGTGCGACATAAAATGAAGCAGAAACACTTGTCTCACAAATAGAAGATTATTACCCCTTTTTTATATAATGATACCATATCTTAGGCAGGGTAAATGTTGTCAGTAAAACTATGCAGTACGCCTCTGTGGAACTATCTTCTGCAGTTTGGAGTGTCCCGTCTCCAAACACTTCAATAGTAGTGACCACCAGGCAATGTTCCCTCTAAGGTTTTCTGGTTCGTGTGCAAAATTATACAACATCAATTTTTTTTGTGCAAAATTTTACAGCCTACAAACACACACACACGCACAAATGGAAATTTGCTGCGCGGATACTCAAAACTGCTGCGCGGCGCCTGTGAGATATCTGCGCGGCCGCGCAGCTTAAAGAGAACATTGCCACCAGGGCAAGACGGACTTTTTCAATAAGTGCGATCGTGGCTAACACGAACACACCCAGCCGGGTGAATTTGGAACACAGGCTTAGCCTGACTTATGGCACATTGACGCCACATGATATGAATGTCATGTCTCTTTTCACAGCTTGAACTTAGCTCCGCCCTCCACGTCCTGACCTATCGCAGTGGAATAACTTCTCCTCTTTTCTTTCCCTCGTCCCTATTTAATCTCTCACTCACTTACTTCTGTCACAATTCATTTGCTGCCCACGGATACTACTTCTAAGCTTTTATTTTTATACTGTTTTTTCTGTTGTTTTGTTCACTGACGAAGGCTTCCTGCCAACACGTTCGTTGTTTTTTTGCGTTCCTTTTTTCCAGGTTAAACCCTACTTTGTTTAACTCATTTTATATTGTGCTAACCTGATTGAAGACTCTCCATTTATCTATTACAGTTACAGGCAGAGATCTGTGCATTCAAACTAATGTAACACCGCAGTTCTTGCAGTGGTAAGTAGTCGTCAACAGTTTCAAATTCAAACAATTATTTATTAGCCCATAATATTATGGATACTAATAATAGTTAATAGTAATAGTAATGTAGTTAAAAAGAGTACTGTATAGTCAATATTATTAATTTAATTTTAGGCTTATGTCGTGATAATTTTAAATTAAAGACATGGCTGATATAGGATGGGGAGCCCTGGAAGATAGTGAAGGTTTTGGTGCATTAGGAGATAATATAGATGATTATAAATTGCTTTTTAATAATGACCTAAACGAGCTGAAATCAACAGTTCAAAATTTAAAACATGCTGCGCACGGAATGATTTTTGCTAAGAAACCCAATCTGCTTTGGGATCTCTATGATCAAAAAGGATATGTCATGGCGAGTACTAACAATGTTTTAGTTTAATCTAACGGGAATATGTCTGAAGTCTCTCCCCCCTCCAAAAATCACAAGTAACAAAGACAATTCAGGTATTGTCATCCAATCAGATCTGAAACTGAGATGTCAGTGCTTTCAAACTTTCATCAATAACAAACACAGATTCATTATAAGATAATGCATAAGTCGTAAGGTCAGATGGATGAATAAATCAGATAATTGCATTAGTATTAGTGCATGCATATTCATAAAATTAATTCCATTCAAATTTATTTTAATTTTTAATAATTAATACTGGTACTAGGAAAAAAATTCTTTTCTGTAACCTTTTACTTTTGAAAACTTTTCTATAAATAACAATATATAAAATCATTTTCATTTATTTTATATGAAGCTATCTGGCTGTAAATCACTGTAATTGAGAATTTATTAAATTAAGACTATAATTTGTAGTTTTGCTGGTTTTGTCACTGTTACAAAATCAGCTAAACTACAAAGTTATATGTTTTTATTTTGTAACTATACTATATAGCTGATAGATCAAATAGACCAGAGCTTGTTAACTTGGATGCAACAGACAACTGTCCCACTACCTACTACTAGATTATTACAGGAACTTTGTCCCCCAAACTTTAACTTGGGGAGGCCTATGTAAAATTTTGTTGACTGTGACAGCCAATCATTTTGAGAGCTTGTTGACAATATATTGGCTGGGGACATAGAAGTCTTGGGCTCTCACCAAAAAATAAATTAGTATTAGTTGATAGATCAGAAGATGTGATGAGAAAAAAAAGAAAACCCTTGTACTTGTATTCAGTTGGGAATTTAAAACAGTTCAAAGATATAAATTTCTATTACTGGTATTAGTTGACAGTATGACAGCTGTCATAAAATACATTTGATTATGGACAAAAACATTATGTGATTTTCTTTTTATTGTTATATCATTCTATTAATGAAACAGATGCAAGTGAGATTTGATGGTCTCCTAGGGTTTCCTGGTGGTCTTGTGGATGATGGGGAAGAGCCAGTTGATGGTATTAATCGTGAAATGCATGAAGAGATTGGACTCGACCTTGAAAAATATTTCTTTAGTGATGAACATCATATCGCATCATATTACCATGCAGGGAAAGGATTGATTCTGCATTTCTATTTAATGGAAGTCTCTCCAGAAGACTACTGTGAATTAGAATTGAAGACTTTAAGTGCAGTTGAATATGGAATAGAGGTTATTTGTTTTATGTATTATTTGTTAAACTGTTTCTTCTAAAATTTAAGCACCTGTAGTTTTAAATACAGTTTAACATAGTATTCTTTTTTAATTCTTTTTGTCATAGTCATTACTGTTAACTCTTCTCTTCAATAAATAGTTATCACATTTCCCAATATTTTTCCTTATTCATAAATAAATGCAGAAAACCTATCTCTCTTTTTTTTCCCCAGACTTGTGGGATAGTTCGAGTACCTTTGTTCACAATGGGGGATGGGGTCAGGGGATTTCCTGCTTATTTAGCTAACCAGTTTGCTGGCAATGCAAGATCCGAGCTAATTAAAGGTTTGTTGGCTGCCCAACTGTTCAGTGAAAAAGAGATGTCAGTAGCCCTCAAGGCATATAAAGAATACACAGAGAGTCAAAAAAGCAAAAAGCTGTTATAATTATAGTGGTGAAAATATATTCAAATTTATTTGTATGAATACATATTTTTTATATGTTACTATAAGGATAATTGCAAGTTTGGTATACTTCAGTTATCCGGTATTTGATAACACAATATAAAATTATAACAACATTCCAAATCTCATGTGCATTACTTTCAAATATTGTAATGTATGATAAATGATATATTACATTATATTTTATTTATGATTATGCTTTTTATTTTTAAAGAAAAAAATAGAAAATTGAAATTTTGTTATTTCACATAATGTTTTCAAAAGTGGTTTTTCAACTTGGTTGTTATGTACCCAACTTTTATTACCTTAGCCTTAGTTCAGCTTTAATTTTACAAGTGGCTTTTTAAGTGATAGTAAAAAAAAAATGTAACATGTTACAGTATAATGAATTCAATATCACATTTTTAAAAGGGATTTTGATCTGAATATCTTTCTTAGTGCCAAATATTTCTTAACATTTTTTTAATAAATTTAAATTTAAGCTATCAGTACCTAAAGTTTCACATTAAATGTTAAATATCATAGAAGAATTGGGGGAGGAGAGTGTTATTTCACTTGTACATAGAGGGTGAAGTGTTTGTCAAAAAATGTATATACTAAGATAGCAACTGAAGGGAGGTGGATATGAGAGTAGAAATTTGTTTGCTTACTTACAATGTTTAGTTGGTTGATTTGCATGGAATGTTGCTTTGATTTTTGCAGCAATGACAAAAAAGATGATCATGTTAACCTAGCATTATAATTATATTGATGCTGTGCTGCTAAATAAAGCATTGGTCTACTATTCATTTTACATTTTAATTAGGAAGTGAGTTTAAGAATTGTTGCAACTTTTTTCTTTATTAGTTACTAGTACTAGTGTTTATTTACATGTAACTTGAGTAGGTAATATAAATATTTGAGGGTCTTAACTATTTAAAATTTATGAAATAATTATGTAACGGTAATAATTAATAAAAGTTTAAAACAATAAACCACTTCTATCACTTGTAATTAATAATTTTTAGAATCATCTGATAACTGCAATATCTTTTATCTTTTGATAATCTCCATAAGACTTGTACTGTATGTATTCTAAGTTGATTAGTCTGAACAAAAAAATGAAATAAAAGAAAGCTGTACGGTACTATTAAAATTCTAATTTATTTCAAAATGTTTAACATGGCATTTGAATTTTAATGTGTTTACCACATAAATCTTTGAGGCTTTGGATCATCGGGCCAATAAAATGGTCGGTAGACAAACATTAAGATTGTGAATGCATTTATGCAAACATAAAATAACAATTCAGCTGATAAGACTCTGATGGATGGCATTTTCATATTTACACGAATTATGTAAAATGGAATTATATAATATCGAAACTCAAGAAGTGCCTGAGGAACCAGACACATTACAATACACAAAGAAACAGTGAGGCGCCATAAAAGGCCTCTATGTACAGTCATTTTATAAATTTGATAGAGACAATACATATACACAGGTATCATAATATATCTCACTATGTGTAATCTTTTATAAAACTTTGACCAAACATAAAATGGATAGTGTCTGTTATCACTAAGAAGATACTTATGCTCATAAGTAAAAAATTTAATCAACAAAGCCGACAGACCTATAAATAGTAAAACTCTAAACGGATTATTTTTAGCCGCATGTAGAAATCGATTAATCTGTGACAGGTGGATAAAATGGAAAAAAGACAAAGAGCATGTAATAAACAGAAAGTAAAAAACTTGTGGAAAATTGTAGGATGCTTGGTGATGTGACCTATCACCTACAACAATCCCTTTATTTATAATAATAAATCCGATGAAGCCAAAAATGACATAAAAATACCAATGAGATGTCATCAGCAGGTTTTTAGCAAGTCGAACAATACTTGATGGATTAAGTATTGATAAAATAGCTTTGAAATATTCATAATCCTCCAGGGTCTGCAAATTTACTTTTGAATGAAGTTGCATTTCTTTATCTAATACTTTTATTGCAGATTGACACAAACAAAATAATACCCAGATAACATTTGTTTGTCTAAATACTATAGCAATTAAACCAGCTCCAGCTGCTACACCATGTTGTCTGTAGAGGCAAAATATATACATCAGCAGAGTGAAAAATGTTGCCCCCGGATCTGTGTAATATAACCAGGTAAAGAAGTACAGAACTGGAAACAGCACAAGGACCACTGAGTTGAGCAACACTTGCCTTTCTGTAACATTTTTATCCTGAAATTTAAAAAAAAAAAAAATTATTTATTAATTAACATAGTTTTTATCCAAAAAATAATAATAATAAGCTGCCATAAATTGACAAGGGGCGAAGGGTAACATTAACTAAATAAAACAACATTAAACGCAGTAGACTGAATAGTATTAAGTAAAGTACCTAGTACCGTACTGGTATAGTAGTACAGTTTTGAGGGAATTTTTTTTTCAACCGGAATTTTAAGCTATTTTATTTTAACTATTTCTTTTAATTCAGTTTTTCATGTTTGTACATTTTTTTGTTTTCGCCCTTTATCAATGAGAAAAATAGTGTCAATCAAAGCAAAATATGGCCCATACAAATTTAAAAATAAATAATAATAGTTGTATAAAAAAAAATCTGCCCTTGCGATCCCCCATGCGGGCAGGGCCCTCAGTGATTTACTCAGTTGCCTCTGCACTGCCCTATTTGGGAATCACATTCTGCAATTTGCAAAATTGTCTTACCACTGAAAACAAAAAACAGACAACTTGGCCCAGGATTAAAATTGGCTATAGTCTTCCAATAACATGGCTTAGCACTTAATAACCTGCCTAAATGCTTGGCCCCATCTTGCGACAGTGTGTATTGACAGTATTGATCTCTGCAAGTATGTATGCTAACAAACTTCAAACTGCTAATAGTAATAGTGTCTTTAAATTATAACAAGATCAATACTGTCAAATGCAAACATTATGTGTCTTAAATTAGTCTTAAATTTAATTTTTAACATTTAGACAAGATGATGGGTCTGTATTTTAACTAAAGTACTGATAATACTGATAATAATATATAGTTATTATGTAGGTACCTTAAAAATCCCAAAATGATTTTACTTATTATGATTAGTAATCTCATTAGGCACAAATACTAATACTAACCTTATTATTGTCATTCAACTTTCTGCACAAAAGGAAAAGTAAGATGAAGTTTCCAGTGCAAAATGCAATATTACAAGCTCTTAGATTTTGTGTTGTGCAAAATTCTGAAAGACTTCCACCATAAAAACTTGCTAATGGAAATATCAGAATAAGAGAGGACAGATACAGCCCAGGTAGTGTTGTTATCATGGGATTCCACTGCAAAAAGATAAGACTGATTTTAGCATATATATATACTGAGAAATTGTACAGGTAAGCTAAACCAGTGGTTTTTAACCAGGTGCACCCTGAGGTGCCGCAATGAAATCTTGTAGGGTGCATCAAAATGATTCTCAACTTTAAACTAAAGGGCTCAGCCAAAATAAAAACATGTTCCATGTCCACGAAGCTGTAGTAGGACTTGCCCCTATATACTGGAAACATGGCTTATCTAAGGGGCCCTTTACCATCAAAGAGGGCTTCACATGTATTACTGGTTAATATATGATTGTAGTACAATGCTGCTCAAGTCATATAGTTTAGATGAAAAGAAGTTTGAACGATATCCATTAGGGGTATAATTTCTTGCACTTATAAATAAATAATAAATACTATACACCAGCGAGGGTGAAGAATGAAAACAAATTAATTCAGATTTTCATCACCACATGGAATCAATCAAAAAGAATACAGTACTCTATAGCTAGTCTTAGTAGCTGTCCTCTATTTCCTTCTACCGGTATTTCCTATTCTATTCTCATTTTTTGTTGTTTGAATAAAAAGGTTTCATATTTAAACTTTACATAAATAATACTATAATTATTTTACATTGATAGTTAGTATGAACCACATAATACTGTGGGATGCACATTTGGATTTGAACAACTTAAGTTCTGTTTCTAGAGTGTTTTCATTTCTAAAAAGAGACTAAGAGAACGACATTTAGATTTTTGAACACATATATTCTTCATTTCTAATTATTTGTTGTCTCTTGTTTTATCTTGTCTGCTGAAGAAGGCATTATCATTAAGCAGAAACATCCTTTTAATTGTAAAGTCTTTTTTACTTTTTTTCTCCAAACTAAATATATCTTGTTCCACTATTTATTTATTCTGCTCATAACCTGAAGTTGTACCCAATAAGTAGTATCCGGTACTTATTTCATAGATAAATATTAACTCAGTCTTAAATGTATAGTTTGTGGGAGGATGGTAGATAGCAAGTTACAAAGACAGTTTCATTTACATCGGAAAAAAGGTAATCTTTGCTAGAAAGTGTACATGCTATTTTGAGAAATGTTAAAATGAATAAAAAGGGATCCAAATGTCTGATAGGTGCACTGAAAAGGTACCGGTACTGGTATTAATAATTTATGATTGAAATTCATAATTCAGCTTTGTTAGACCATGTTATATCTTCCTGTCTGGCTCAAGAGTCTAATCCTTGAGTGGCAGTCCCTGCTGCCCATTTCACAACCAAAAGTTGAGTTTTCTTTTAAGAAGGGTAGCATTTCGCGCCCACTCTGTCCCATCAACTCTTTGTTTAACACAGCAACCACGAGCCATAATGCTTTCACCACAGCCCTCCCAGTCAATATTGATCCTGGTATGCTCTGTGAGATTGGATCTTTGCAGTTCTTCTGTTCTAGGGTCACTTGTACTATCTGTTCATAAATGCAGTTCATCAATAAATTTAAGGTACCGGTATGTGAAGTTACCAAAAACTCCCATGGTCGTATCTATTGATGACAATGATGAAAAGGGAAACTACTTCTTTCCACAAGATGCCTGTTAAGGATGATGTTCAGTCCAGGCTCCTTGCCGGGGGGGGGGGGGGAAAGAGGCTACTTATGTAATGCTGTAGTTCATTTTTGAATGATATTAAGACTGCATCTCCGGTGAATAGCAATTCATTCAAATGAAATTCATTTTCTTAGCACTTTCACGCCTATTTAAAATTTAAGAACCACTATTCTAGGGAAATGTTTCTCATACAGGTGCAGTAATTCAATATCCATGGGAAGTGATTTTTGTAAGGGTTTGTAAAGGGCAGTAGTGGACAGATAGATTTTTATGAGAGGGGGGCGGGGATGCAGAGGTTTGTGATGTTATATTGGAGGGGACTCAACTTTTTGTGACGATGTCGGATGGGGGGAGGGGGGTAAAAAAAATATGCGGAATTAGCATGACAGCATTTAATGATGACCCCCTTGGGTGACTTGGAGCATGGAATCAAAGAGAATATATAAAATAATTATCTGAAATATCTGCAGGATCCTGAAAAATCTGCTCGGGCAGAACAGGTAAACTGCCTTCATCCGATTTTCGAAAGCTTTAACTTTAAATAGAAGCATATATATTTTAAACATATTTTGTCGTTCACGATACTTATTGATCTTACAGATACCCCTCATTTAGTCTAAAGCTTATATGCGGTAATTTAATTGAAATTAAAAAAAATACCACGACTAGTCCAGGCTCGGGAAAAGGGGCGGGGGGGAGGGGCTGGTTTTTTTTTTTTTTTTTGTTTCTTTTTGGCACCCCCAATCAGAAATCGGTTTAAAACCACTGGGCTAAACAAAGGACACCGATATCAGCTTTGGTAATTCCGAAAAATTTAAGCTAAAACTAAATTGTATCATTTGTAATTTACGAGACGACATACTACATACTGATGTAAAATTAAAAGAACAATATTGTTGCGCTTGAGGTACATGGAAAATCTCATCCATGTAAGGTTCCTTTTGTACTTGTTGAATAAATTGAAATATAGCTCCTGAAACGAAAAGCACTATGCTTAAAGTAGAAATTAAGACAACTTCCATGGGTGATGCTTAAGTTATATTCTTTGATATAGACTATTAAATAATTATACAAGTACACCAAGGTGCTAAAGCAACTACAAGCAAATGAAAAAGCGAAACCAAATCAAGCAAATCTCGCCACATCTGCTGTCAACGCGAGAGTCTGTGTTAATTTAGCCAGTCACGTGACTTAATCCATCAATGTAGGTAGGTAATATGGCGGTTGTTCAACAAACAGGAATGAACGGAGACATACCCAATTTCACAATGGGATCTTCTGGAGAGGATACTATCGTCTCCGGAAATCTCCAAGAGGAGGTACAATGCATTTTCCTATCCTTTCACGTTGGATATTTACATATTATATATCTTAAAATTGAAGGACAACTTTGTGTAGGCCTGCGAAAATAAATAAAATCATTAAAAAAATTGTAGTAATAATATTATTGAAGTCTCAACTAAGATTACAATCACGGCTAAATCACTTTAAAAAAAGTAAGCCTTTGCCTTGAAAAAAAACTATAAAAAGTTTTGAAAAGTAAAGTAAAACCAAAACTATAACCTAAGCTAAAAAGGCAAAGAAAATTAAATGGTCCTCATTGATTTGAAACTTTTATTGTTTAAAAAGTACGAACTACTCCCAGTCCAATGAGACCAATCACCAATGTCCCCATCCTAGTTAGGAACTTCAAAATTTGTATGGGAAATCCGAAATGGGAGTTGGGGCAGAAGAATCTGAGTTTTGAATTTTCGGATGTTGATTTTTTTTCATTATTAAACTAAGGACTTTTTTGTTATAAAATTGTGGTATCCTTCCTCATTCACATGTTTACAATAGGGGACATCTTGTTTTAACCTACTCACCTAATCTAATACTATTAGGTAGTTTGGTAAGATCCGGGAAGTGCCGAAAACGGGTATCGTGATTTCGTTGTCAAAATGGCGACCTCCACTTTTTAATTTACAGAGAGTCACATTGTTTACGACTTTTTAACTATATATAGCCCAGCATGTTAATTCTATTTCCGCCCACAACTTAGAGTAGACATGTTGTGTTATGAGTCCCCCAAAAAATTTTAGGGCTTCACTTTGAAAATTGAAGGTAAAATAACGCAATTTTTACTCATTCATATTTTTTTTGTGGAAAGTATCCTTTCTTTGAATTTCAGGGACTTTATAAATAATGGCATTAACTACAACATATCCAAGACATGCTAATTGAGGCCCATCAGTTTGGTCAGAAATTTACTCAGAAATTTTAATCACGTGTGTCCCAAAATTACCTATTATCGTTAATATTTGTTGCTATGGTAAATAACCTTATTTATTCTGGAAATCAAGCCTATTACCTCCTAATAACTCATTAAAAAATAAAAATAAAATAATTAATAAAACAAACACATATTTTTAATATGATTTGATGCTTTTATTGAGGGATATTAGGTTAAAAAATCCTAATTAATTACAATTAATAGTTAACTATTAGTTTTATATACTGTTATATGTATACTATTAACTATATATATTATAGTATTTATAATATATATGTATGTATATATAGAGGCCTAGAATAGTATTCCTATTATAAGTGTATGCCCCCCCCCCCCAAAATTATTTGTAGGACCCATTATTCATATGTAATGATTTATATGGTGATTCTTAATGCATAAATTAAGTAAAAATGTACAAAAAATATAGGGGTTACATAATTAGACTTTATTGCGCTACTGTAGTTTTATTTATTTACTATTGAGATATTGTATTGTACGATTTTGAGACCAGATTGTACGATTTTAGGGGTTGGAGGGTAAACAGGTCTGTTATTCATATGTAATGATTTATATGGTGATTCTTAAGGCATAAATTAATTAAAAATGTACAAAAAATATTCACTTACCTTTGGTATTGAAATATCCTATATTTAATCACATATCACACTATTCCAAAAGAGAATTATTTTATAATCCTCAGTATTCTCAAAGAAAAAACACACTTTCTGCCACAACAATCCAAGAATTACATGAGATATTGCTAAAATTTAATAATAAAACATTGTAATTACCTCAAGCAAATAACTAGAACTTATTTAAAATTCTATCAACAGCCAAAGTTGATTCTAACAATAAATGTTGATCTGTGAAACAACTTCACTAACTTAAAATAAATGACTTACTATTTTTGTCATATTCTCACATTCATATGGTATGGGACTAAAATACATTTTATAGAAAATGGTAAAATAAAAAGTGTAATAGTCAATTTTAATTTATTGAAACAAATAATCTCTTTATTATTTGTATATACTTATAAATTTTAAACAATTCCACAGAAAATTTGAAATTAATATCTTAATAATGTTTTATTATTATTATGATTTTTGGGAAATTGAAAAAAAATATTTATACATAATTAATTAATTAATTACTAAGTGACGAGTCAGCATATTATATATATTTGTAATAGGAAAATAATAAAGATTTTAAAAATAATTTTTTGCGGAATATTAACAAAAACTAACTTATATTTTGTGGTTTTATTTAGAAGTACTCTAATTAAAATATGTTCCCTGTAAATATTATATTTTTGTGTCATTTTATAATAAAGTTATAGGCCTTAAAAAAAAAATCAAAATGAGGGTCACGAAATGTGGAGGAAAATCCCATAGTAAAAAAGTGCCTTTTTGAGGTCCCTACTAAAAAATTCATAACTTTTGAACCACTTGAGCTAGAAAGTTGATCTTGGTGTTTTTGTAATCTATTCTCCAGGCTCTATACAGCTGTAGTATTTTTATATTTTAAAAAATGTTTTGAAATTTTAATCAAAGTGCCTAACTAATACTAATAGGCAATGTCTATTTGTCCGGCGACCAAGTCACATGACCGCCGTAACAAAGTGGCGAGAGATATCTTGTCGGTCAGCCTTGTCAAGTGAATGCGAAAGATTCAAAACTATTGTTAATTTTAAAATCTATTTCTCTACCAAGTAATGTACTGAGTACTTTGAATGCAAATAATAGAAAAAAACCTAAGTGAAAGTGGCTTGTAAACATTTTTGTTTAGTTTGTTATTTGAGTTTGTGTACCAGTACCAGTAATCCATAAAATAAATTTGGGGCCAATATGGAGTAGGCAACCAATAAAAGTAAAAGATTACATTTTAAATTGTTTAAATTGCTACAAAATATTAAAAAACTTCTCATGAAACTACTGTTACTGATGAACATGATAATATAAATATAGTATAAAATATTTTAATTAAAATGGGGGGGGGGGGGAAACAATCCTATACCAGGTATTGATCCTCAAATCATAATGTCAAGCGACCACTCTACCACAAGACCACACAATATCTGCCAAATTGCACTTCGTTCGGAATAATAAGAACTACTAGCCGTCCGGCAGTCACGTGACATGCCGCCGGACGTATATCTCGCGCACTATTTGTCCGGCGTCGACAATTCGAATCTAATAATGTCCAACAATGTTCCCTCTAAGATTTGTTGTTTCATGTGCAAAATCATACAGTTGTGTGCAAAATTTTACAGCCCACAAACACACACGTACATGGAAATTTGCTGCACCGCTGCGCACATATTCAAAACTGCTGCAAGGTGTCTGTGAGATAGCTATGCAGCTTAAAGGGAACATTGATGTTCAACATACTTTTTGCCTTTTTTGATGTATCTTAGTTTTGGAAATTCATAAGTATATATAATATAATGGCATCTTTCCCTTTAAAATTTGTTATGAAGTTCAAAATAAAGGTCTTTAATTTATATTAAATAATGATAGGCATTATAGATTGATGTATAAGATAAGATTCTTTTATTGATCCAAATAAATGGAAATGTTTTTTGATTGCATTATACATTTTCAGCACATATGTCGCATATATAAAACAATTTGAAGACAAGACATTTATAATAAATTATCTCAAACAGCCACTCAGTGAGTGCTCTTAGCCAAATCGGGGAATTATTAATTCTCATGAAGATGTTTGACATCAGAGGGAGCACGCCGGTAAATTCGTACAGGTTGGGGAACAAACGAATTTTTATATTTTTCAGTCCTCGCCCTGATGGAAAGAGTTCGTCCCGAACGACCCGATCCATAGTATTTGTGATGAAGAGGGTGTGATGTATCATCCAAAATGTGTTTAGTTTTACAAAAACATCTTTCTTCAAATAGTTCTTCAAGTGAAGGATTTTTAGTTTGTGTTATGTTCCTAGCTTTCTTGATCAGTCGGTTTATGCAGTGTTCAATATCAGACAATGAATTCCCACACCAGCAGGTAATACTGAAATTAAGTAGGCTTCCAATTGTTGCACTGCAGAATAAGTTAATGATTTGCTTATCTACGCTGAAATTGTACATTCTTTTGAGATAGAACAGTCTTTGGTTGAATTTCTTATACAGCATTTGGCTGTGCTCATGCCATTTTAGATTATTATTAATGGTGACACCTAAGTACTTGTATGCCTCCACATATATATAATAAGTATATGTAACATCTGTGACATTCTCATTGATGTAGGTCGTGTCCGCTGTTCATTACACTTGTACCAGTAACCTGCATTATCCGATCGTAAGGTCGCTCAGTCTAATTTTGACCATGGTGAGGGCCATGCCCCCTTTTTAATGGTGGAAAGTGCCAATCATGGCCATTGACCAATGCTTAGGACTTAGGAAGTATTCAATTATTACCATTTATATCAAAATCAGTGATAACTTGTTTTTATGGAATGAAACTAGGAGTAATTTAAACAATAATATTTTAATTTGAGTTTTAAAAACCCCTGTAAGTACATAATATGAATGATCATAATTTGCAGTGTGCAAAATCTTGTCATGGACAACCTCACCATTCACAGTCCTTGCATGTCTTATACTTATACTACTATTTTATTGTATTTTTTTCAAAGTTCCATTTCTACGAGAATGAATGTACTGTGTGCATGTAACACTATTAATTCATTGGTCAAAGAAAGCTTTGATTAATTAGTCATGTGCCAAAGTTGAAAGTTCAAAATATTATTATTACTAAAAAGTGGTTTTGTATAGTGCGGTATCCCAGCCTAGGGCTGGGCTCACCACGCTGTACATACAATTTAACAAACATAATCATGAACTTAAAAATTAACATACATTAATGAAATAAAAAAACAGCTGTATAAAAACAAAACAAAATTATTTTCACTCCACCCATTCCAGAACTATTTACATGTCAAGCCATGGACGGCGCCCAGCAGCATCGTTTATCGGTCAGAGGGGGGAAATCAGTCAGGATAGTAGAGTTTACAGAGATGTGTTTTGAGTGCAGGTTTAAAGGCCTGTATGCTCAGTATATTGCGGATGTTTAGTGGAAAAATCGCTCACCGTATTTTTGTGTGCGTGTCTTGTGAACAGAAAGAATATGCTTGTCTGTGGAGGAGCGAAGCTGTCGAGGGGGTGAATAGACAGAGAGAAGTTCAGTGAGATATGAAGGGCAGGAATTTGAGAAAAAAATGTGGCAGAGAACAGAGAGTTTGTAGTCAATCAGTGCTTGTACAGGGAGCTAATGAAGTAGTGGTGTGACATGATCACGTTTTTTTTGCCTTTTGAACTAGCCTAGCAGCTGAGTTTTGAACCTTTTGCAATTTTTCTATGAAGTGTTTTGGTGGACCTGAAATAATTAGTCCCAAACTAGTATTATTTTTAGGGGATGCCTTGCCTTACATAGATAGTGAGTGAACAGAAGATCCATAATCAATATTTAATGTAATACGGTTTTGAGGTCTTTACTAAAATAAGACTAACATTACTAATTCATTTTTTTTTTTTTAAAACAGTTTCTGTTTAATTAAAATTCATCCATAGATATTTTAATTATAAAAATCCAAAATTCTTGAGGTTAGGACCAACAGGTTGGTGAAAAGAATTTCTGCACATTTTTTGTCACCTGTGTCCCAAAATTACCTATTTTCCATAACTGTCTTTTTAAAAGTAAATAACTTGATTTACACTGGAATTCCAGCTCATTTAAAAAGAAAATTAGCTAACACAAATACATATTTTTAATATGATTTGATGCTTTTAATGAGGGGTATTGATTTTGGAAGTGGGTTAAATTAAATAGGCCTTATTATTACAAATAATATATATATATATAGATATATATACAAGGCCTATAGTTATAGAATATTATATAGTATTATGAGTATAGGCCTTGCCCAACCCCAACTTATTATTTGTAGGACTCGTTATTCATTATATGTAAGTAATCATATTTTAATGAATATTATGATTCTTAAGGCATAAATTGAGTAAAAATGCCAAGGATATTCACTTTCCTTTGCTATTGACATTGAAGGATCCTTATATTTAATCACAATATTCCACAAGAGAATTATTATACAACCCTATAAGTATTCTCAAAGAAATAAAACACTTTCTGCCATAATCATAATTTATTACCAAAGAACAATGACACACCATTAAAACTTGTCTTTACCTCAAGTGAATGACTAGAACTTATTTTAATTTCTCAACCACCAAAGTTGATTCTAACACCACATGTTGATTTGTGAAACAAGATTATTAACTTTAAAAGAAAGACAAATTTTTTGTCATATTCAGATGTGACTGAAATACGTGTACCTGTATAGAAAATGGTAAAATAAAAAGTATAATCATCAATTTTTTAACTAAATGAATCAAATATTATGTAAACAAAATAAAATAAATACAAATATGTGATGAGTCATTATATTTTATACATTTTAATAAGGAAAATTATAAAGATTTTAAAATAATTTTGATTAATATTAACAAACCCTAAACTGAGAATATTTTGTGGCTTTATTTAGAAGATCTCTTATTTAACAATGTCTCATTTTCTAACAAAGTTATAGGAGTAAAAACAAAAATTAAAATCTCGAAATGTGGAGGAAAACCCTACACTTTGAGGTCATTACTATAAAATTCATAACTTTTGAACCACTTGAGCTAGAAAGTTGATCTTGATGTTTTTGTAAACCATTCCCTAGGCCTAGGCTATATACAGATGTAGTATTTTATTATATTTTTTTTTATGTTTATAAATTTTCATCAAAGTGCCTAGTATTGCTTAAGGAAACTAATTACTGATATTAACTATTTTATTAACTCAGTAACAGTTCAGTAAACAAAATATTATGATTTCTCTTGGCATCAAAGACAACAGAAGATTGGTCATTTATGAATTATTTGCCTTATCTAGCAACCCTACCATTTATTTTACCCCTAATTTTGTTATTGAATTGAAAACAATAGAGCTTAGAAAATAAAATTGTGACTTATTACAAAAAGTGTTAATGAAGAAATGTTTTAAAATATATAAACATTTATATCATTATTTAGAAGCTAAAGTCGATTATGTTCTTGAATCCCTTTTCCTCACACTCCCTGAAATTCCAAGTTGGGAAACCTTGTTTTAGAAGTAGAGACTTTTAGTTGACTCTAAAAGTTAAGGTGGTTACTTGATTTTTTTTTAAATTATCAAGGAGGGAAACAGACATAATTGCAAATTATGTTAGTATGGCTGTTAATAATGATTTTAAATTATGTGGTTTTTTTGGTCCATTCTTGGTGTCATTTATTTTATAACTTTACTTCGTTATCAGTCCTTTTTGTATTTTTGTTAAATTAGTTGGCAAGGACTGGGAGCTGCATGCAACTCTTAGATAGATGTAGATTTTAAATTTACTATTTTGTTTACAATTCGCCATGGCCTGCAACTCCCAAAATATTTTCTTATCAGATGTAATTTACAAGAAAAGCTCCTTCCTCAAAAAAGGTTTCCAACCCCTGAGGCATTTGAACTTAAATTGAAAAAAAAAGACTGCCATTAATAATTCTTATTCACAGGTTATAGTAAAATCTTTATGTTGACATCTCACTTTTAAATTTGTTATTGTCAATAAATTTAAATTATTGTCTTGTCCTGAAACCACATCAACTGCTTGATGCCACAAATAATCATTTTTATAATTATTATGGAAATGAGTGAACACTTGAAACTGGAAAATGCAATTTATTGTGATTACAATGATAAAATATTAAAATTATACCATTTCACAATATCACTTTTTAGATTGAAAATATTCAACGTGTAATCAAAGTGACACGTAAAAAGCTGGAAGCGATGAATGAGGAATTTGGCAGGCATCAGCACCCCCCAGCTATATATGTACAGGTATTCTAATGTTATAGCAGCCTATTGTTACTTGTAACGGGCAGACCAATATCAAGAAATATTGAACATTTATTATAAAACCATTTCTGCCAAAAAGACATTTGATTCATATACAAAGCGGAGACAAACGAGAAAAATCCACCTTTAATAAAGTGTTGAAATTATTGCTTAATTCTGAGATAAATAACTTTTAACTATTTTTAAAAAATTTTAAACTAGGAATACGAAGAGCTTGCCAACAAAATACATGAGTATCAACTCAGAGAACAGAAGCTACAGGATCAGATAAGTATTGGGGGTGGCACCCCTCCACCATCTCCTGACAGATCCATGCAAGAAGAGCCGCTCCGCTCACCAGGACCTCCCCTTACACAAAGCAACAGCAATAATAATCTTCATCAACTAGCTGCTGGACAAAGGAGCCCGCAGTCAGGTCCCCGTTCTGCAAATGCTCATATCAAGGCATACTTACCTAACAGTATGGTTACAACAGTAAGTACAAAGGAGTATATTAATAGGTGGTAGTTGATTGATCATCAGATTGTTTAATGTTAATAAAACATTTTTTTTTGCTTAGGTTGTTGCTAAACCAGGCACAACTCTCAAAGATGGTCTTATGAAGGCAATGAAAAGGAGACAGTTGGATGCTTCTAAATGTCAAGTATTCAGACATAAAACAAGGTAAACAGATATTTAAAGAAAAATTGTTTAAGGTAGGATTCAAGATGATTTATTATTTTATTTTAAACAACTTATTCATATTTTATTTCAGGATACAGCTAACGTGGAATACAGATATGGGGGAGCTGGCAGGGCAGGAAGTTTCTGTTGAGCTCATGGAGGTTGATGATGATAGTAGCATGACAAGATCCATGCCTCGAACTGTTGTTTTATCACATAATTATGTAAGCTTCTTAAGTTGGTGAATTTAATTTTTTTAAATGAACAGGTACTTCTAATTGTTTAAAAAATAATGGTCATAATATGTAAGTCAAATTGAACTTGCCTTTTCTTTCATTTTAACTATGAAACTTTATTCCACACAGGGGAGAAAAACTTATTTTTCATTGACTTTCTGTGACATATGTCGCAATCTCCTGTTTCAAAGTATTCGTTGTCAAACATGTGGGCTTAAATTTCACCAACGCTGTGAGGAAAAGGTCCCACGTAATTGTCAAGGAGACCTGGAGGTTTATCTGCGTAATATTAGAGATTCATCTCGTGAACAGGTCCATCAGTGAGTCTCTTTTTTTTTTTGTATATTTTAAAATTGTGTGCTCTAAAATTAATACTTCTTGAGATAAAACTTAGAATAAAAAATAACTTTATTGTATGGTAAAACAAAAAAGAAATTAAATAAGATCCAGTAAGACATTGATGAACTTAATGTGCTTTGACCCCGTCCAGATTCTTAAATTATCTGGATTTTTTGTTATCCCTTTATCAAATATGTGTTGTAAATATTTTTGTTTTTTTGTTGTTTTTTTTCTCATAGTTTTTGGTCATGTTTTATTAGAGATCCAAATGTGTTAACTTTAAATAAATCTTGTTTTGACTCTTGCTCCACATAATGTTTTCTTAAATGAAACTCTTACTGTATGTATTTTAATAATGTTATTTATATCTCCCAAAAGATTTTTGTCAGAAAATCAAGGTCCTCCACCAACTAGAAGACAAGCACAATCTACATCAAGAGGGGGTCATGTGAGTCGACCGCCTGCTCCACAGTTAGGACATAGAGAACGGTCTACATCAGCACCAAATGTTTGTGCCAACATTGTAGAAAGTGGTGACATCACTCAACAGGTTAAAATAATGCCTTATTCTCATCGTTTAAAGTTTAAATTATTCTCAGCCCTTGCTTAAAACAGTGTGGTGAATATGCAAGTATTTATTTATTAGAGTATTACTGTGTCATTCTGTAGCTTCATCTTGTGTGAGGGATGCATATTTTTGTCAGGGCTCTTCATTCCAGGTGTCCAATGGTTTGAAAAGGATGGTAAAAGGGGCCTATTTTAGTATTAAAATAGAGTGATATGAGATATGTTAGGGTTGATATGGGGGAAAGTTCCAGCTCCATCCAAAGCTCTGATTAATGTATATAGCTACGTTAATATTTTACTTGACAACATCTGAGAACAATTGTCTTTTTTTCATGCATCATGTGGCAGTTCATTATTTTTATTTATTATCATTTTATGTATTAATAAATGTTTTTACTAATTTCTTTCAGGAATACCTTCGAAGATTGAGAGAGCTTCAAAATGTTCATGCAAGTAAGTAATAAAGATGATTATACATTTTTAATATGGGAAGGACTATAATTGGGTAAATAATATTTCTTAGTTGAAGAGGTTGATTTTATTGTTTATATTTATTGCACTTACTTTACCAATTAATCATTCAAAAAAAGATAAAGCTGAACATGTACACACAAAAAATAGTACACTTGCCGTTATCATACCTGTCAGCTTAAATATTAAAAAAAACAATTGTATTCCTACTTTTTTTCATTAAATTTTCTGTAATGGTTATTTTAGAGTTTACTTTTTTTATAAATATACTTAATTGAAAGTAACAGTTCAGTTCAAACATTGTCTTAATTAATTTTTTTGCAGTGAGTTTTAAACTTCATTATAAAATAAAACATATTATTATTTTTATTTTAAAAAAATCGGATTTATACTAAAAAAAATTGTGCTTGAAGATGGCATAAGTATATTATTAGTTATGATTTGAATAAAGCAACTGTGTAATAAAATTATTTAAATGCCTGGTCTCATGGGGTTTGGATATGGGTTTTTGTTGCAGTAGAGTGACAGGTATGGATTAAAAGTGTTTGATGTTTTTTAAATTTTTTTAATAAAGAGAAACTTGTTGCTTGGTGCATATCATGCATCTTATTTTTTTTACTTTTCTTTTTCTCAGGATGTTTTTAAAATATTTTTTTATGAAGGGAATAGTTTTTGCCCACCCTACTACACTCTATATTATTCTATATATTTCTAGACTTGTGGTTGCTTGACTTCCACATTGTAATACTATTGCAGATATGTTTCCAAGCTATCGCTATAATTTCTATAAGGACAAACGTCATGCTAGTGATAGCAGTGCCTCCTTCACAAAAAATCCTCCAATATCTCAAAACAGAGGTATCACAAATGCAACTTTTTGTATGAAAAAAACTGCTTAGCATGTATTGGCATCTAATCAATATTTAACCATTTATGTTAGGTACCACACTTTCAATTCTGTTTAATTTAGCATGGAACTCTTTTAGGGTATAAAATTTTGGGTTTCTCTAACCAGAGTGATTATTTTGACTTAACACCTGATAATTCTCCTCTCTCCCTGAGCAATTTATGCAGTTATGTTTGATTTTTTTAAAAATATATTTAATTTGCAGTTATAATTTCTTTGTCTTGTGATTTATGTGAATGGATAAGAAAAATTATTTATTTTGATTATTATTTAATTGCAAATAATATCTGTTTCAATTCAATTTTGTCTTGAAATTTGAGAGAAACCAAAAGATCAGAATTATATGATGCTTATGTCTTTCATCATACTTGAACATTGTCATCTCTAGAATGGCCTGCTTATTCTTGATTTGCTTACACTAACACAGGTTTAATTTATTGATGCATGACTACTTATATATTTCATTTAACTATCAATTGGAATAAAAGCACATTTGAAGATTTTATTTATATAATGTAATTGGTACTGACTGCTTTGATCAGGGACAATATGGGGAGATGCCATGCAAAAAATAATTACCATCCCTTTTCAGCTGACATGTTTTACTTAACCATTAGCAATATTTATCCAGCATTTGAAAGTAGCTTGACATTGTTATGTATCTATTTACTAAATATTCTCAGGTCAACAGAATCAGACATTAACTCTTCCTTCACAATCGCCTGCGGGAAGCCCTACAAAAAGTGCTCATTCATCTCCCACTATTGCTATTAAACATGTTCGTCCACGTGCAAAGTCAGTGGAAACTGATCCAGGCAAAAGAACGGTATTTTAGAAAAATATTTTATATTCCATAGAAACATTGGGAGGGGTGGGGGGTGTGTTAAATAGTATTCTATGTAATCAGATATTTGGGTTTTCGGCGTGAAATTGTACTGAAATAAATTACTTGAAATGTGATCAAACTTTTTTTTTTTTAAGGGCTATGACATCATGTGGTTATATATTAATTTTCATAGAACCGCAATTTCGGTTGATTCCAGATTTAAAAACTTTACCTGAAAAATATATTTTTAAAAATATTTTAAAAAAAATTAATTGAAATACTCGTATTCTTTTAACGTGATGGCTCCTATACACTTTCTGTTTAGTTATATGTAGTTTTTTTTTCATCTTTCAGCGAGCAAGAAGAGACTCTAATGAAGATTGGGAAATCCCTAATATTGAAATTATGTATGATCGTCAAATTGGTTCTGGTTCTTTTGGGACTGTGTTCAAAGCTCACTGGCATGGGCCTGTAGCAGTTAAAAAATTGAATGTAACTGATCCAACTCCAGCACAGATGCAAGCTTTCAAGAATGAAGTTGGTGTGCTGAGGTATTATTGTGTGACCTTAAAAATTAAAACTAAATTTAAAGCAAAATTTTAATGCACTTTTGAACTGTTTAAAAGTGGTTTGGATAGCTATTTTTACATTAAATTTTTTTAAAAAAGCTTATGAAACTGTTTTTCTATAATTTTACCAATAAATTTGTTTGTAATCATATTATTTTTTGTGACTATTTTCTGTTTTTTCCCTATAGAAAAACACGGCACTTAAATATTTTACTTTTTATGGGTTTGGTTTCAAAACCACACTTAGCCATTGTTACACAGTGGTGTGATGGACATAGCTTGTATAAGCATTTACATGTACAGGAGACAAAATTTCGCATGGATCAGCTTACAATGATTGCAAAGCAAACGGCTCAAGGAATGGAGTAAGTTCATTTCTTTTGGTTAGATCAAGTAAGATGTTTTGCAAATTTTTTTACTTACATTTTAAAGAATAAATACTTTTTTTTTTTCATGTTAATATTTGTTTTGACCTTTTTCTACAGTTACCTACATGCAAAGTCTATAATCCACAGAGATTTGAAGTCTAATAGTATCCTTTTTACAATTACAAAGAACTTTTTTTACACTAAATATGTAAAAATATATTTCTGGCTTTGATAATTAAATAAAATGCCTTAAAAAATTCATTCAGCTTTTTTTTTTTGTTTTCTACTGACTTTCAAGAACTTACATAAGTACCTGAGTGAAATCCCAGTGGCAGTCAAAGAAAATTTCAGGTGTTGATTCACTGAAAACCATTGTTAAATTTTACAGATCAAGGGGAAATGAATTTTATTGCATCCCTAACTTGTGTAGATATCTTTTTAACTGAAGTATGTACAGAAAACATGACTGTCAAGATTGGAGACTTTGGATTAGCCACTGTGAAAACAAGATGGAGTGGCTCTCATATGTTTCAACAACCTTCAGGATCTATATTATGGATGGTATGAATTTTCTTTTATATTGTACAATATCTCTTATATACATTACGCTTCTGGTGTGACTCGTCGACTGCTTCCTAATAGGCTGCTTCCTAATCAGCGAATTTGGTATTGAGAGTACATTACAAATAATTCTAAATGTTTGAAAGAATGTATGGTTCAGTAGCGCACAAAATATAAGTCCCGATAACTACGCTAAATAATTTTTTTTAAAAATAACACAACTGCGCTTTGGTGTGTAATATTTTCTTTTCGGAAAATGAAATCGTTTCAATCTAAGTATGGTGTAAATAATATTCGGTTTAAAAGTGGTTGGGACATCAGAATATTTAATATAGTTCAAGGGCGAGAAATAAAAAGTCTGCAGTGATGTAACATGGGGGGAAAAGCAAAAATTGGTATTCTTAAATGTGTGTAGTTGAGTTCACTCTTTCTCCCTGGATAAACACTCCCATCGTCGATTTTAAATGGGGTTTTGGGGGGATTGATGACGGGATCATCGATATATAAAAACCTGTTTGTTTCAGCTCCTTTCTTAGCTATTGGTTTTTTATTACTTTTAATCAAATCTAGAATGATTTCCATTTGATAAACATCCGGTTTTTCTTTATTTCAAAGAGTTTTTACATAATACGAAGTGTTTGAAGCAGTTGTTTTGATTGTCCATTTTATTTTTGTTTACAAACATGAAAGCTTGACCTGACCCATCTGGTGATCGATCTAATAACGGTTGAAAATATTACTGTGATGATTCAGATGATTTTATGATTTTGGATGCAGAGGCTGATTCTAATGAATCGTATAATTATAATCATATTACTAATATTAGTAGTACTAGAAACGAAATAATGAAATTGATAATTTATCAACTGAAAAACAACCAGCCCTGCCCCCAGCTAAAGTGCCTTCTAATAGAGCTTATACTGTTCCTACTATAAATAATGCAGATTCTAAAAGGAGAGCTGCTGATCTTAGCATTAAAACTGAGTGCAATTTCAGATTTTTACCTTTGACTTTAAAAATGTAGGTGCACTTTGCTAGACACGCATAATATTATTCACAAGCTTGTACTCGCAATAAATGGGTATGCTTCATACAGAATTAAAGTCTACACTCTAACAAGACTTATCGTAGCAAAACTTGTGCCTATTAGCTCCAAAAAGGACAGTGTGCAAACACTATAAAACTGGGTAAACTGTACTGGTATACGTTTGTGCTCGATGAGTCAAATCCACACATCCACATGAATTGTTTTCAGGCTTACTATAGCTAAAACCAGATGAAAAGATAAGACAAAATTATTTTAAATTTTCCATTTAACATAAGAAATGTTAGTGCATACAAGGATTCAGTGCAAATATTTTCTAATAGCAAGAAATTGTTTCCAGTGGAAATAGTTAAGTTTTTTTTTTGGACATTTTTTGTGTGGCGGTGACAATGGATAATGTGCTCTGGTGTTTAATTTTTTTCTTTTTGTTAATGTGATCTTTATTATTTGTGATGCACATATGGATGTAGTTCAAAAGTAAAAACATTTTTGTAACACTTTGGATTATAAAATTTCTCTTTGTGTGACTTGGAATTAGCTTTTTGTTAACATTTGGTGAGTTTATTATTTAAAATTTTTATTTTCCTTAAATCATCACATTTATATATTAAAATTTAAACCCAAGTCTATTGTCTGTTAAGAGCATGCATTTCCCTTTAATTCCTTAACAAACTTAAAATAATTTTGTCTGCTCCTTGTACACATCAATCCCACACGCTGACGGCCTTATGGCCTTGAGATTTTTCCTAGAAAATAAACTCTATCCCTACTGACACTATTATCAGATTGGCTGAACTGGTACTTATCCTCAACTCCTTTGAATTTAATGGCCATTTCTTTGATCAAATCAGTGGGGTAGCCAAAGGCACAAAAATGGGCCCTAGCCATGCTTGCCTATTCATGGGTCATTTTGAATATTTGGTAGAGAGGGCATCTACTGGCCGTATTCCTGAATTTTATAGGAGATACATAGATGATAGCTTAGGTATCACCAGCATGGAAACTAACGATCTCCAAAAATTTATATATTTTTAAAAACTCATTTCATCCATCCATAAAATTTACTTCTCAAATCTCTGGACATTCTGTCAACTTTCTCAATATCACCATAACATTGAAAGAAAACAAATTGATCACATCTGCCTACTACAAACCAACTGACAGCCATAGTTACCATAGTTACTCATCCTCCCGCCAAAATCATGCAAGACTCTATACCTTTCTCACAACTTCTTAGACTGCGGCGTCTCTGCCAACTTGATGAGGCATTTTTGGGAAGAGCTGATGAAATGATGGATTTCCTCCACTCCAGATCCTATCCTGAAACTAGTCTCAGCACTAGGTCGCATCAGCACTATCACACGGAAAGAGGCATTCAAAACTCGTCAAAACAACAATGAAGATCGTACAAAGCTTATACTAATCAACCACCCTCACAATTTAACTACCAAAAAAATATTCTAAAAAATCGTGGCATGCTTCTTGCTGACCCCAATACTAACATGGTTTTCTCATCCCCTCCACTAATTGTATTTAGACGGGACAAAAATCTAGGTGACCTTCTGGCCCTCTACCAAATATTCAAATAGTCACCTTCGATCTGAACCGACTTACTTTCGTACTAAACCATGCTAAAGAAACCGCTGTAGAACTTGTCCCTTTACACTCAAACTGAAAGCATTAGCTTCCCTAAAGGTACCTTTACATTTAAAGAGGGTTTCACCTGCATCAGCTGTAATGTACTATATGCGATAGTGTGCTGTAGATGCCAATCTAGTTAAATAGGTGAAACTGGGAGAAGATTGGCTGATAGATTCATTGAACATCTCCATGATATTGAACAAGGTAAGCTTTCCCCAGTCTCTTCACATTTCAACAGAGATGAACATAAAGGTGCATTAGGTGTAACCATTACAGCACTGATTTCATGTAGTAACACACCAGAGAGGGTTAAACTGGAAAATAAATTTAGTCAGCTGTTTGGCACCATATCTCAATATGGTATTAATCAAATAGTATCCTACTCACGTTTTTCTGTATTTCTACTATTTTCTTATTGGTGTGTGTTTATGTATCCCTGGATATTCTGGTCCATAATTGTGGACCTTATTTTTCACAGCGTCAATATTTATATTCTCTCACTTCCTGTAACCCTATTTCCAGCAACAATGGATATTTCTTGAGTTGTTTACTGTGCTCTGTTCCTTGTGATATTTTCATTTGTCCTGTGTGCTGAGGAAGGCTCTATGCCGAAATGTTCTAATCTTATTGTCCTGTCCTTACATTCAAGCTTCCACATACCTCGCTTTGCTATTTCATTTACCAAACTTAACATTTTCTGATGAAAAACAAAAAGTTATGATGGTTTAGAGATCACACACACATAGTAGTGCGTAACAAATATGCAAAATAGTTAATTCCGTCAGAAAGCGGAAATTACTTCAGGAGAGAAAGAGTTAATGTTTTTTCGAGTAACTTTAGTAGATGGGAAGTTCACGCATTGCTGTCGCCAATGTTTGGCAGGCTATATCTAGTATATATATTTTCATTCCTATATTAGTTTAGTATATACAGTAGGCACTGTTTATATGACAGGGTTATGAAATAGGGGACAATCATATGAAACCGAATTAGAGGCCATTTCAAGGGAGTGTGGGGGCACAAATAGGATTTTTAATGGGTCAATAAAAAGTCTTGAGGCTTTTATAATCGGAAATTCATAAAGCTTTATTCTGTATTGATGATGGCTTACTTCCGGTTATAACAGCATGACCCAGTTTGTTAATTAAAAAATTTCTCACAAATAAGCTATCAAACATAAATATTTGTTGGTACCAGGGGCGTAGCTAGGGATTTGGTGGCCCGGGGGGCTTGGCCTCTTTGGGGGCCCCTGCATTTTGACTTCAAAATTATTTAATGTAAAAAAAAAATTCTGACACTCCTTTGGGGGCCCCCCTTTTGAATGTGGACTCCCCTAGCTATGCCACTGGTTGGTACCCAATGAAAGCTTAACCATTTTATGATTTTTTTTACTAAGTTAAGCAATGTGTCACTGAGAAATAGCCAGCTATCTTATATCAAGAAAAAGCTACCCCTGTTTCCATATTTTTAGAATCGGAAATCAAAACCCACCGATATGAATGATATATTAATATTACAATGATTAAATTCTTTCACTTTGGCTCGAGTTGAAATCTCAGAAACAATTAATAATAGGAAATTATATATTTTCCTCAGAAAAACAAAGTCCAGGGCTTTTTAACTAATTAGAAATGAACGCTGGCTAAGCTTTAAAAAAAAAATTACATTGATATTAAAAAAAAACAAGGTATGGGGAAAATCTCTTATGCTCAAAATAAACGGTGCCTACTTAATATATTTATATCTACTCTTTAAGGTAAGCTGTCAAATACTGTACACTTTTATCATTAAATTTACTTTCAGGCCCCAGAAGTAATACGAATGAAAGAGCAGAACCCCTATACATTCCAGTCTGATGTGTATGCTTTTGGCATCGTTTTATATGAATTAATGACTGGATCTTTACCATACGCAAATATAAACAACAAAGATCAAGTAAGCTGCTCTGTTTTATGTCTCAGCTGTTAAATAAATTTATATTAGGTACCCCGGTATATAAAACTGAGCTTTAAGTGTAATATTGTAACCTCTTTGCTACACGCTATTTTTCATCAGGAAAGCTTTATTTTTATATCATTTGTACTAGAGACCGACCGAATTTCGGTTTCGGCGCCAAAAGTGGCAATTTTATCATTTTCGGCCGAAACTGAAAATTTAACTTTCGGCTTAATTTCGGTTTCGGCCGAAAGAGAAAAGTTAACTTTTTGTTTTTCTTCGGTTTCGGCCGAAATTGACTCAGGTTTTCGGTCATATAATACTCAACGAAAGCGATATTTAATAACAAACTAAGCGACATTTAAGAACATTCTAAGCGATCTTTAATAACAAACTAAACGATCTTAAAGAACAAACTAAACGATTTTTAAGACCGAACTAAATGATCTTTAAGAACAAAATAAATGATCTTTAATAGTAAACTAAATGATTTATAAGAATAAACTAAGCGATCTATAACAGAAAACTAAATGTTCTTTAGGAACAAACTAATCGATCTTAAGGAACAAAATCAATTATCTTTAAGAACAAACTAAACGATCTTTAAGAACAAATAAAGCGATCATTAACAAAAACTGGACGATCTTTAACCACACATTAAGCGATCTTTAAGAACAAACTAAACTATCTGTAACAACAAACCAGGCGATCTTTATGAACAAACTAACCGATCTTTAAGAAAAAATAAAGCGATCATTAACAAAAACTTGACGATCTTTAACAACAAACTAAGCGATCTTTAATAACAAACTAAACGAACTTTAAGAACAAATTAAGCGATCTTTAAGATTAAACTAAGCGATATTTTAGAACAATCTAAGCGATCTTTATGAACAAACTAACCGATCAATAACAACCAACTAAACGATCTTTAAAAACAAATTAAGCGATCTTTTAGAACCACATTTTTTAGAGACCCTGTTTAAAAAAATAAGTTTTTACATTAATTTCCCCTCCTCAAAATATCTTAATATTTCCTCTTCGGTTTCGGACGAAATTCATTTTTAACTTTCTGCCTTTTTTCGGTTTCGGCTGAAATCAGAAAATCACTTTCGGTCGGTCTCTAATTTGTACCTTCAACAAATTGCCAATTATTTACTCCACTGCATTCCATTAGAAGTATTTCACAATGGTATAAGGAGCCAATACTTTCATTACTTTTTTGATGTGCTTCTTAGGCAACACATTAAATTTGACACCATTATAGGCATACAGTGTAACGGTTTTGAAGCTGGGGGTAACCTGTAGAGAAAGTTTGAATTTTACCCAGAATTACAAGTTGTTTCTTCTTTTTTTTTTTGTTTAATGGAGCTCTTCATGAGATTGTTTCAGAGTTAAATGAACTCAGTTTTTATAAACTGTGAGCAAAGCTTATTTGAACAAATTCAAATTAATATTGAAATTCAAATCATCATTTTTTTATAAATTTAAATTATTATTATTATTAAACAATTAAGTTTACATTTGTGACACATTTGTTTCATTTGATTCAAGATATAAAATAAGGCAAATTAATTTTGTTATCAGATACTATTTATGGTTGGAAAAGGATATCTTAGACCCGACATCAGTCATTGTCGTAGTGACACACCTAAACAACTTAAACGTTTTATGCAAGACTGTCTTCAGTTTGATCGTGATGAAAGGCCTCTCTTTCCTCAGGTAGAGAAGTTTTTGACAGTTCTTATTTTAAGCATTTAAAAAAAAAAAAAAATTAAATCAGGAATGGCCTTTATCAGTATGTTGGTTGAAAAATTATATTTGTGTGTTTTAAAATTGAAATAAAAATACAGGATATTTTATCTTTTACAATCAAAAGTTTTTAATTAGTAGTTGAGCTTGTTACTTGATTTGTTTTGTTTTTTTGCAACTTGTGAGTATAGAATGAATCTTAATATTTACTTTGTTTTCTCAGCTCCTGGCTTCATTAGAGTCTCTCTATGCATCCATACCCAAAATTAAGAGGAGCAAATCGGAGCCTACAATTCACAGAACAGATTCATTTGACTTAGATTTTAAACACATGTGTGCCTCTCCAAAAACACCTATTAACAGTCATTTTACCCCCAAGTTTTTTTTCACTGGTGGAAACTATTAATCATTGCTGGAATTTTTAATATTGTGAATGGAGACCTGAATATCAACAAATTGTACAGCTGTATACCTTAATATGCAAAAACGGTTAGCTGTAAACAAGCAAAAAGTATAGGCGTGCTGAATCGCCATAACTCGGCAGTTGAATCACCATAACACGGCAGTGGAAAGTCATATTGCATATATATCTACACAAGACAGCAGGGAATCTGGTTGTTTTAATCATTCTAAAAAAACAGGATTAAGTGGCAGAAAATAAAATGGAAGTTGTAGGTGGCACTGACTTTTACAAATAGGGTCAATTATTTTCTGAAATGAAAAGAATTATTCTTTCTGGGGAGCTTTTTGTATGCATGCACTGAGGTTAGGGATTCTGCTTACCCTTTGTGAAGATTTTGAAGTTGTTAAGGCATTAGAAATCATATGTTATATTACTGGTACTGTAAAGAATTTTTTTTTTTTTTTTTTTTTTAGAATCCAAACATCTTGAGCTGTACTGTAGGGAATGCATTATAATTATGATTATTTAAATAATAACAATCTCTTAACTTATGCACAATGGCAAGTTGACAATAAAATGAAAATTTAGCTTTAAATGAGAATTAACAGATTAGATACATATTTCTTTTTTATAGTTAAGTTATTTATTTAATGACATCCTGTTGCATTCAGTATTTGGAGATCGTGTTAGTGTATCAGTAAATTATCAACTGATAATCCTCTTATAAATTTTTCTAATCTGTTGTAAAAACTAATTTTACCCTTTTAAAGTAAAACAAATCTTAACTACATCTAATCTGTAAGGCAGTGGTCGGCGAACTGAGTAAATCACCCCTCATGGGGTAAAAATCAAAATCTTGGGAGTAATAAGGGCTAAAGAGAAATATATTTAAACATGTTTTAAATGAAATAATATTTTCCCCAATACTGCTTTTGGCGTGTGTAGTTGTTACTGGTGCCTCAGTACCTCTCATGCCTCGTCTTGCATACATTATTTTTGCCTAGTCGCCTATTTTATCTTATGCTCAGTGGCGTCACTAGCATTGGTTCCACCCAGATCCGTAAACTCTGTAAAATTTATTACTTTTCCTTTGGTGTCATCCCCCTGTGAGAGTGTCTACCTCCTGTGAGGATTTCCTGGATGCGTTCGGCATCCCTGCACTCTGAGTGACACTACTGCTTATGCTCAAAACCTTATGAGATGCAAAGGTTTTCAAAATTGCTTACGAGGAGGCATTCAAAAGTTGCTGCCTTTTGCAACAACCCACTTTTGCGAACAGGGAGTTTTCACTCATATGCAACATAATAAAATGCATTGAAATTATCTAACCCCAAAGATAGTATTCAAATTTCTCATATATAAAAAGGTCCCAATTTTGATGTCATTTTACAAAAATGAAGCATCACTACTATGAAATTTGAACTGAACATTTTAACAAAGAAATCCTTTGCTCCATGAGATTTTATTTATTTATTTATTTTTTTCTTGTATATTTATAATTTATTCTCCATAAAAATAGATTCAATAAACCATTTTGAATTTAGTCTATGATTTTCTTCTTTTTTACATCAGGGTAGCAGCGCCGGAAAAAAATTATGATGGGGTAATGGCTATAAAAGTTTGCCGACCCCTGTCGTAAGGTAAAGTTTTCATTATAATAAAATTTTAATTTATAAAATAATTATGAATGATCTTGCTTTGTTCTAAATTTCTAGTTCAATTTTTGTTTATTTATGACCTTTGATATATATTCTCAATACCAGTGTTAAAATAAATTGTCTCACTTCACTGTCATAAATTCCAAAAAATCAAAATATAAACCTTGTGGTTTTCTACATCTAGTCCATTGTTCCTTTCATTTATGTTAGCATCTCATTGAAAACTGAAATTATCACACTGGATAACCTGAATCCTTAATTTAAGTAACTAACATTCATACAATTCATATTTGCTACCATTGAGTATTCTTTACTCATTTTGCTAAATTGTGACCATGCTAATTATTTAATGGGTGTCAAATCTATGGCATGGTTTTGTGATAAAGCTGTTTTGTACTTGGGTCAGTTTGATCCACTCTCTGATCTCTGACTGATTCTTGAACACAAGCATATACTATTTTTTTTGTCAGAGACTTATTTATTTATTTTAACTGTAAATATGATTTCAATTGTATTTTTTTTTATTTTTAACCATCACAAGACTATTAAATTTGAGGTTAATTGGGTGGCAATTCTTTTGTAGTAAACACTTTTAAGTTATTTTTAAGGATTCTTCCTGGGGAAGTTTAAATAAATATAGTTATGGGTCATTTGGCTCTATTTATTCTCTTAATGGGATTCTTGCGGTTCAGATGGTCATTAAATAATACCATAACGAATAACACAAGAAAATCTACCATGTCTTTCGTTCCTGCCCCAACTCCCTTTTTTTTGTTTTGTAACCATTGCACTTGTTAATTACCATGGCTTTATTGAGTGAAGTTCATTAGGTTTGTTTTTGTATTACAAGTCCCAGTTCAGTGTATATGGCACTGAATTGTTCTTTTTTTCATCAGAATAAGCAATTTGCTTTGAAAGAATTGGAATAAATGTTAACAAATGTTCAAACCAATAGACAAGTAAATTAAAAATATTTATTTTTTATTATTTATATTGACACTATTTGATTACAAGTTACATTAATTCATTATTTTAACATTTTTTTAAAAATTAAATGTATTGCAATTTTTTTCTCCCCAAACTTTATGAAAAATAAAAAGCTTAAAAATTGAGTAAATTTTTGTATTTTGCACTTCATCTTTAAAATAAATTTGGCAACATGTCCAACAGTGTTAATACCTGAATCTTTGTGTGCCTGCAAATGTATTGTTAATACTCTAGTTATAGCACAAGCAAGCTTAAAATATAGAAGTAATGGTCAGGCATTTTTTGTTTGTATGTGTTATATTTCTCCTTATTGTGACAATATTTGTCATTTAAAAATAAATATATGAAGCTTATATTTATATGCAGGTTTATTTAATAATTTTATTACATTTATGATTAAATTGTGGACTGCACAAACAAAAGATGGGAATGTATACATTTTTAAACACATTTTTTTTCAAACACCTACTGACTGGTCACAATGTCCACCTCAAAATGAGAGGCTGTGTATATAAAAAAAATTGGAATTCTTTAAGCATTTAGTTTAAATAGTCAATTGAATGTATTTTCATAGTTTGAAATCTTACTTTGATTACTTATTTAATTAAATCACTATTTGTTAATTACACTATGTGTTACATCAATTTAATTATTACCACATTGAAATTTCACTTACAAATTTTAACAACATTTTTTTTTCAGGCTAGTTAATCAAAGTTAATGAGATAATCTGAGAAATATTACAATTTCAAATGAATAGAATTAGATTATTCAATTTTATAAGGAGATGAACATTTTCTTACTGGCCTTAGTTCCAAGGGAAGACAAATTAATTATGAAAGATGGACGCTAATCAAGATGATAATTTAGATGTGTGTAAGATTTATTAGCATATATATAGGAAATAATGGTGATTAAATATTTTATTATTTTTTAAAGTATGTTTAGAAAATTAATAGATTGTTCAACTTTTATAACTTTATGAGTATTTGGTGTTAAATGGAAATTCCGTTAATTATTTTGAGGCTTTATGAGAAAATAATGTGTAGGACTTATTAAAGAACTCATTACTTGTATAATCTGTAATATGTGTTAAAAATCTTGCATTTTATAAGTTGAAGTTTAAAAAAATGGTGTTTAAGATCCCAAGCGCCACCATAATCAGTGCTGATGACTGTTTAAAACAATAAGACTGTGCAATAACATTACCTGTTCCAATGGTAGCTTTTAAACTTAAAGAAAATTTAGGCTAATTACTTAAGTAATTCAAGTAGAGCCCAATGAAATGATTATTTAAGATTAAATTTTGCCTGGAGTAGTATACATAAATCTGTCTGCTAGATATATTATACCATTAATAGACAAACTGTCGTGCTTGTTTGAATCACATCACATGATCAATTAAATTACATTTCATTGATTCAGTTGATGCTTTAGTTCATGTAAAAACTAAAACATTTGTGTATGTAACATTCAGTCTGTAAAGCTGAAATTTTTCAGTACACTTTTTCTTATATTTGTTTTAAATTAAGATTCTATCTCTTGCTTCTGCAGTCCCCTTTTAATAATACTGGTTCAATGAAATATTTATGATAAATATTATGAAATATTTATGATTAAGTTTATAATGTTTATTTATATTTGGAATGTACTCCGAGTCAAAAGGCTGTGAATTTTTTTCTCTTACATTTGTATTATAAAAACATCAAAACCATTTTCTATGCTTTATCCTTGTCTTAATGATTGCTGGTTTAATTAATTTCTTATGAGCAAATGTCCATTAGCTTCTGTTGGAACTTAATATTCATTATCAGCTTTCAAATCCAAATATTTGCTTTGCTATTCAATTTCATCCACATGAACCCAGCAGCTGAAACTTTTTATGCAGTCACAAGTTTCATAATATTAGAATGTTCAATGATAGCTTTCTTTGTTCAAATCTTTTTGCTTTTCATGTTACATCTGTTTAAAATACTTAACAGTTTTCAGCATCTTTACTTCCAATGAATTTTGACAACAAAACAATCATTTGGCCTTTTTATTGTGCATTATCTTCATAAATATTTCCTCAAATTATTTTCCTGTGGTTTATTTTATTTTGTTGTTCTCCTCCCCCCCCCCCCTCTTCATTTCTAGTTTACTTAGCCCACATTAAAACACTTGATGTGGTCTATATTTTCCTAAATTTTTAACTTGTTTAATCTGCATGTGAATAAATTCTGACTTGGCCAAGGCCAATGCCTCTGTAAATACTCTATAGTTGATTGTCTGGATTTCTCACCCCCACTGATAAAAGTTAACATTTTTTAAATGAGTTAAAAGTTATGTAAATAAAGATGACACAATCTTTGTGATTATAAAAATGTATTTTGCAAGCATTCACTTTAATAATATTGTATATAAAAATGCATTTCTTTCCATGGATGTGAAAAAAATAACATGAAAATGATAATACAGAAAGAATTTGGTGGTTTATTTTTTTAGTATTTTGTTGGTAACTTGTGTTTGTAATACAAGCTAGTCCACAGCCTTGAAAAGCTCGACATTGCCTTGAATAAACTGATGATCATCACTAGGATAGTAAATTCATTTAGTAGGATGTGTTTTTCATCGAAATGATTCTGAATCACATTGTTTGCTCCTGTTTGAAAAAAACCATAGTGTAATCCAAAATTAAATAAGTCTTTACATATGGCATCCTTCCGTCTTCGCGAGACGATGGAGTAGCTATAATGTAGTCCTACACTTCGACGATTGGCTCACTAGGCAAGACCTAGAATGACAATCTCGACTTTAATTCTGGCAAGAGAATATTGATTCCTGGTAAGATCTT